CACAATTTTAGACATCGGCCTACTTTTCACCTACTTTACACCGGTTAATGTACTGTTCCATCCTCCCTTATCTTGCGCACCTTTCGGGTGCATTACTGCCCCCTCGCAGTCGCCGCGCGCGCCGCGCCAGCCCCGAACAGCCGCGCAGCGGCACAGTAGACTGATTCCGAGAGTCGTCTTCGTCGCTCTGTCTCTCTCGCACGGGCCGCCCCTTGAGCGCGAGAGAGACAGAGCGACTGAAATGACTCTCGGAATCAGTCTGCAGCCGCGCGGCGGCACAGCCAAACAGCCAAACAGCCTCTCGAAACGCGGATTATATTTTCCGCCCCACTGGTCCGGCTAGTCCGGCAGGCCGACGCGCCACTGCCCGACGGGCTCGTGGGATCAGAAGGAAAGGATTAATAATAAATTAATGCCGGGGACGTGGACGCGTGCAGCCGGTGAGGACCGGGGGAGCGGGCGAACAGGCGGGCGGACAGACAGACAGACAGACAGACAGAGAGAGAAAGGCTAGCGGACAGAGTGCGAGGCAGTCGCTTTAATTAACCTGTCCTTCATTGAGCCGCGCGGCTGCCACGCTGCCACGCCCTGAGTGACAGGGTTGCACGGTTCCAGTTTTGCAGGTTTCCAGGGATCCAGGGTTCCACGCACGGTTGCAGGGTTCGGCAGGGGTTCCAGGGTGCCAGGGTTTGAGATTTCCAGAGTTTGCAGGGTTTCAGATTTCCAGAGTTTCAGGGTTTTAGATTTCCAGGGTTGCAGGGTTCCAGGGCTCTAGGGTTCCAGGGTTCCAGATTTCCAGAATTCCAGGCAGCGGTCCTCGGCGTTACTGCACCAAACACTACCTTCGTGTCGTCTTGCTAGTGGGGGTGCCACCCGTCTGACAGACGAACACAGCGCAGACAGACGAACCACGACTGTTCCAACAGCCCTTTTGCTTTCACGGGAAATACAGAAAGGGTTCTGTCTGCAGGCCGATTGAGCGCGCTGTGAGGAGGCAGTGCAGAGACCAAGGACCAAGCACCACGAGGGCGTTGTGGCCGAGGGCGCCGAGGGCGGCGAGGGCCAGGGCAGAAGGGCGCCATGGAGGCGGGGCGTGGCGGCGCGCGGCGGGGCTCTGGATGTCTATGGTGGGGCGTGGCACCGGGCGGCAATGGCTGCAACAGACGCCCCGCTACGCCGTGCCATGGCCGTGCCCCGCTACGCCACGCCACGGGGCCCGCTGAGTGCCGTATCGACGCCTTGCCGCGCCCCACCGCGCCCCGCCACGCGCCCCGCCACGCCCCGCCGTGCCTGGGGCCACCACCCTGCTGCCCCGCCCTCTCGCCAGCAACCCCACCGGCCCGGCCGCGGCCCCGCGCTGCAAAAATGGCGAAATGGATGGCAGAGCCGCGACGCCAGACGCCACCGGGCACAACGCCGCGGCCCCGGGAAAAGGACCGCCAGGCTGAGAGTCGTTTTCGTCGCCCTGTCTCTCTCGCACTCTTGGGGTGCCAGACAGAGCGGCGAGGTGACTCTTCGGAGTCAACCAACACAAGGCACCCCGACGACCTCCGGGCCTGGGTCACTTCTGCGTGCCTTCACTCTTCACTCCACACTCTTTCCGGTCTCCGGCCTGCCCTGCCTGCCGATCCGGGATGGGATCCAGGTCTCGCTCTAAGCCGCAGACACACACACGGGATAGGATAGGGTGGCCTCGCGGGCCGCCGGGCCGCGGGCCGCCCGCGCCGCCCCCGCGCCCCCGCCGCCCCCCGCCCCCCCGCCGCCCCGCGCGCCCCCGCCCGCCCCCGCGCCGCCCCCGCTCGCTCCGTCTGTCTCGCTCCCTCTCCCTCGCCGGCCTATCTATCGCGGCGCGGGGCTGCATTTGCTGTCGGCGCGCTCGGCGGCCGCGGAGGGCAGGCAGGGCAGACAGACACTGGGGTATTACGAAGCGCGGAGCCATGGCGGAGCCGGAGCGGCATCTCCTCGAGTCAGGCAAACCAATTTCGGAATGTAAACGGAAACGCTTGCCGCTTGCCCCAGTCCGCCCGCCGCGGCGGCACGGCGGCAGCGCGCTGCTTCCAGCCGCGTCGGTTCCAGCTCCAGCTGCCTTCGCCAGCAGACTGATTCCGAGAGTCGTTTTCGTCGCTCTGTCTCTTTCGCACCTAAAGGGGACGCCCCATGAGTGCGAGAGAGACAGAGCGACGACTCTCGGAATCAGTCTACGACTGCCTCGGCGTGCTTCAGCTTCCAGTGGCTTGGCTTTCATCCCGCCGGCGCCATTCAGCCTTCAGCAATTCAGCATTCAGACCGACTGCCTGCCGCGGATCCGGGAACCGGCAGCCTCATTCCGAGAAACGTCTTCGTCGCTGTCTCTGTCGCACTCATGGGGCGTGCCGTACAGGTGCGAGAGAGACAGAGCGACGAAAACGACCCTCGGAATCGGAATCCGGCTGCTGGCAGGCCGAACTACCCTTGGACTTTGCGCTGCTCTCCGGCTGGCCTCCAACTCGATTAGAAAACTCGAGAAAACTCTCGGCGCGGGTGCTCGTCGTCGTCGTCGTCATCGGCAGCCTCTGCTCTGCTCCAGCGCTGATTCGTAGTTAGGCCGTCCTCGTTGGAACGGCACGGAGCCGCTCTGGACGACGCGGACCACAAACAAGCGCGTAATTGATGCATAAATATAAATAATTAATCCGCTGCTCTGGTGACTCTGGTGGATCCGACGGCCTTTGGCGGTCTTTGGCGGCCCTCGGCCTCGACGCCGGCCTCCTTGGCGGCGCGGGGGCGCGGGGCACACACGCACGTCGCGGTGCGTGCCGTGCCTTCCGCTCCACCGCGAGGCTGCCTCCGTCTCTCTCGCACTCACGGGGCGGCCGGCAGGCCCGTAGGGGTGCGAGAGAGACGGAGCGAGACAGCGCGACGAGCCGCTGGCCTCGCGTGGCCCCGCGGGGGGTCGTCACGGAGTGGCCCCGAGTGCGCGGCTGTGCGCGACTTCAAAGACGCCGCACGACGCGTGCCGCGTGCCCTCCGCCGCACGCCGTCTCTCTCGCACTCGAGGGGCCCGCGGGGGTGCGAGAGAGACGGAGCGACGAAAGCACTGCGGGTGTGCGCCGTGCCGCCGTGCCGCCGTGCCGCGGAGAAGCGACCGCGTTCGAGTGCATTTCCAGTGTTTCCGCTCCAGACAAAAATATGCCGCGGATCTCCTCTCCTTTCTCCGTTTGATGAACAGTGCCGCCGAGCCATCGTGCGTCGAGTGGCGGGGAGGAGACCAAAGGGGATGTCTCTCTTTCTCCTTCTCGCACACTCCCCCGCTCCTTCGCCCCCGACCCTTCGCCCCCGACTCAGCAAAGGGACTGGACTGCACGCGCCGTGATTGCGCCCTTTACAGTGGCCGTGGCACTTTCTTTCAAAAATACCTTCGCATCGCGTCCATCGTCCGTCACTTAAACGGGTATTAATGTGCACCTAGCACCACGGTTCTGGGTGAGTCGTGCTCACGTACGTGCCTGATATCGATGTGTGTGTGTGTGTGTGTGTGTGTGTGTGTGTGTGTGTGTGTGTGTGTGTGTCCCGTTCTAAAATATGCGGCCACCCCTCCCCCGCCGCGGCGCGCCGAGGTACTTGCTTTGCGTTCGGCTTCGCCCGCCCCGCCATCCGCCGTGACCTGCAGACTGATTCCGAGAGTCGTTTTCGTCGCTCCGTCTCTCTCGCACCCATGCGGGACGCCCCATGAGTGCGAGAGAGACAGACTCGGCGGCCTCGTCCTCATCCCTCCAGTCATTCAGTCATTCTCATCGTCGGCGTCATCGCGTCATCTTTGACGTGCCGCCGCGCCGCTCCTTGGTCTCATTACTGGCCGCGGCCCTTGACTCTGTCATTACGTTGTCGTCCCCGACGTACCGTCCCCGACGGATCACTTGGTCCGCGGCCCACAGTGGGCCAGAAGACCGGTGGAGGCGGCCGAATCTCTAGACGCGTTTTAAGCTCCAGAGTCGCTAAATAGGACTCGGACCGAACGTGTGACCCCACCAATGGATTGCTCTCCGAACGAGGAATCCATTGGTGGGGTCACACGTTCGAGTCCCATTTAGCGACTCTGGAGCTCAAAACGCGTCTGGAGTCTTGGCCGCCTCCACCGGACTTCTGGCCCACTGTGCAACGTAGCGTCCCCGACGTACCGTCGCCGTCGGATCACTTGGTCGGCGGCCTCAACACCGCGGTGACGCGAGGCACCAGTCGCTCTGTCTCTGTCGCACTCATAGGGCTCTCCGTAAGGGTGTGAGAGGGACAGAGTGACAAACCGTTCTTCTGAGTCGCTCGTCAGGCGTGACGAACGTGACGGTGTGACGGTCGGACCCCCCGAGTTAGGTCGTTCAGACTGATTCCGAGAGTCGTTTTCGTCGCGCTGTCTCTCTCGCACTCATGGGGCGTCCCGTGTTGGTGCGAGAGAGACAGCGCGAGCACGGCGGGGAAGTCCCGGCGCGGCAGTCCCGGGGAGGGAAGGCCGGGAAGGCCGAGGAGACAGACAATCTGTTCTCCGCCACGGCTTATCTCTCTCTCTCTCTCACTCCCCTCACGAGGCACCGGCGAAGCACCCCTTTATTTCCGCGACACATGCGGTCACGCCTCCTGAGCACCCCTCTCTCTGTCTCTCTCCCTCCCCCTCTCCACTTGCATATAACAAGTCGGCGATCTCCTCTGAATGATAGCGACCCGCTAAACGAAAACAGTGCCTCTGGCGCCTCGGGCGCCACGGGCACCCACGCAACGCGGCGCCTCCCCCTCCCCTCCCCCTCCCCTCGACCTCCCCCGGCGTCAGCCCGTATCGTCCCCGGCAAGTGCCACTGCAGTGCCCACTCTAATTAATACCCTCAGAGCAAAGCGAAGGTCGAAAAAAAGTTGCTTCAAAATTGGGCGCTTTCAAATTGGTGGTGAGTAGTTTCTCACACGTAGCGACGTCGCTGTACAGCGCGGCGCAAGCAACCCGGCAAAGGGAAAAGGAAAAACACCAAACACGAGAGTTAATGACATTTGCATTTAATTGATACTCTTCTATACACATTTCATACAACAGTACATGTTTAATTTAAGCATTTTGCAAAGCTTTGGTAACAAGGAGACAATGAAAAGTACACGTCCCCTACTTCTAGCATTAATTATGAGTACATTCAGCTGTATTAGGATAAGTGTCCGTAGCCCCTACAGTGCCCATGCCTTCACAGGTACACGCCAAACAAAATCACAGATAATTAATAGATACAAACTAGCATAATTCACATCTACCGCGTTTTCATGACACTACTAGATTACAGCCCAAGTGAGGAATTGCTATTCACTGAAGGCCTGAAAAAGTAAGATGAATCCAATCCCTTGCACAAAACACTAGGGAGCGCGGCGAAGATACCTCTAATTGGTTTCACATTACTTTGTCAGAACATCAGTGAACTAATAAAATACACATTTACAATGCATTGAACAAGACAGTATGAGTATCAATCTAACTGACAACACAAAATTCATCCCCCATGTTCCATGAGCAGAATAATTAGCACCATTGAAGCCATGGTTTTCACAGAACACCACAACTTCAAACATGGAACTCAAGCATGTAATTCTTCAACCTTCAGACGCCATTTAAATACAGTAGCTTTGATACAAGTTGGATATTTTCAGCTAATTAAGTCCATAGGCTAGATTGTACGCAATAACAGTTTCTTTAAATTCATAAAGTGACACACAAGATTCGGAGGACTGTTACCTATATCACTAAAAGCAAGGAGATCAATGTGTCCTAGAAAGTCGGTGAAATACTGATTGGCAAATTACTCATAGAATTTATCCTCATTGAGGTAAGGTTACAACAAAATGAATAAAGCACGACAAATGTGTAGTACACCAATGAAACCGTCCTAACACTAATAATCTTAAATTTCTTTCACACAAAATTAGTTGCACAGGTTCAGATTAAACAAGAAAAAGTTGACCCAGCCTAGGTACAATAAAGAGCAACAGGGTGAAATTAATTACATTGTGACATACACATCTTAAAACATTTCACATTTGTAATGCAAAGCAATAGCCCCTCAGGTGGCACAACTTGAGAATAGCCACATAATACATAAAGAGCATGACAAAATAATATATATCTCTTTCTCTAAATAAATATATTTGTATAATATTTATTTGTCTTGACCTACACAAATAAGGTGGAAGTAGGCCACTGTTTTGAATACATTACTGTCATGAGACATTTTAACAAGTAACTAAAACCTATCCTTGGGGAATGTATAACAACAAAACAAATACTTTTCGGTTACCACAGATTGCATTCACAACATGTGCCCCTTATATTCAATGGTGAATTCAATGATACAGACCAAACTTGCACAAAAAATAGGGACATGCATAAAATTTCAAATTCAGCTAAGAAATAGTTCTTTTGCCTATCACCTCATATATACCAAGAAGCAGCAAATACAAGAAAGCTTGATTTTAGATTGATTCTAGCTTCCCCTTGATTCTTCAGACAAGTACCATGGCTATTCAAAAAGAGGCATGCATCTAGTACATCCACACAACCAGGAGGTTTATAAACTTTAAATTGGACCAAAGGGTGTAACTAGAGTAAATAGAAAACAAACACCACCAAGCCTCCTCGCACTGAATATCCACAGCTATTGGGCATTTGCTTCTATTCATTTAGTCACACACAGTGACCACCGCAACAAAGTGACAAAACATCAAGAGCTTATTTTTGAATTTTTAAATCATAATCTAGTATTTTTCTAAAATTTTAATAAGGAATAAGAGAGACACTAAAGGCACATACTTTCTTCCCAAAAAATAATCTCAATGCTACAAAACATTTTGATACCAGACATCAAAAACAGGAACAAAACTTGGACCATAGCCCAATCAATGTGGACTTAAAACATATAAAGCAGATATCAAGTACTATTCTCAATGGCTGGCTGCTTTGCTAAACACCATGCTCTTAAAGACCATGAAGAGAGAAATTACAAAGCATTTACATTTCCGTATAATAATGAATTAAAATAGAGCTTGGTCTGCAAGGAGCAAGAAGTTTCCTGATAACATTTATAATACCATGATCATAAATCTATTTTCATACATGTCATGTTGATCGTTTTGGTGGAACGACATAAGCAGCTGATATGGTAATAAAGTACTTTTCAATCCACAAAAGAATCTGGAGCAATCACTTTGTTCCATAACATAATTCTGAAAAAGAATTAAATTTTAACTAAAACAACAACTACAATAAAAAACAATGTAAAATATTCATAAGTAACATGTAAAACATTGAACTCAAAATAGAAACAAAGAAGAAAACTACTGCAATCAGATTTTCTAACAATGGCTTAACAGGTAAGAGATTGAGAAATCACAAATAAAAAAGGAAACAAATCAAGAAGAGCCAAATTTGACATATATCAAGATCAAATGTAACTCATTCTCAGGAGAGTATCTTCGGTAGGTGTCATTTTCAAGTAGGACAACTAATTTGTAACGTTTTTTCATAACTTCAAACATCCAAAGTAAAAATAAAATATAAAGTGATAACATGCTGGATCAATAAGATCAAGAGGCGTCTCTAAGACAAACAAATATCTTCACTATCACAAATTATTTTAAAAATAGCCAAAAAAAAAAGGATTCATAGAAATCTACATAACAACAACGGGTTGATTGATCCATATTTTAAAGTAAAAGTCCTGGAATTGACTTAGGAGTCATGTATGGGAGCTGCATTAGTTGAAGGCAGTAATGTTACATCAAAGCACTACCAATTCTGTGTAGGAATGTTCAAAGTACAGTACAGTGGTTTGTTCTTCTAGCAAAATTACAGGAGATGGTGGCGCTCATAGTCAACAGGGAAACTAGAGAAAATACGTTTAGAATAATGCTCAGCTAATCTACAAACAGAGCAATAACTGATTTCACCTCTACTCGATGAAGAGGCCTCACTCAAAACAATGACTTTAAATAGCCTGCACGAGAGTGGCACCCGCCTTCGATAAGGCCAGGCAGCCGGTAGCTCGGCGCCACGATGTTCGCAGTGTTCATGCTCAGGGAGACCGCTTCGGGGTGGCCGGAGGGGTCGGCCCCGAGGGTGCTCCGCCTTGCCGGGCGGGGATGGGCGGGGGTCCGTTGGAGCGCGCGGGGATCGGCGGCGCCATGGGCCGGTTGGGGATGGGCGGCGGCCCCGCGCCCGGCCTGCTGGGGATGACCGGCACGGGGGCGCCCTGCGCTCCGCCCTGCACTCCGCCCGCGCGCTGCGGCAGGGGCGGGGGGAAGGCCGTCCCGTCCTCCAAGTCCGTCGAGTCGAAGCGGGGCGGTGGCGGCGGCGGCCCGCTGGGGCACGCCGGGTCGTCCTGGATCTCCTCGTAGATGGCGTTGCCGTCGTCCACGCTGCTGTACGTCGCCGACGCGTCCTTGAGGTCGACGCTGGGCTCGCGGAACGACTGCTGGGGCGGTGCGGGGGCGGGCCCTGGAGGGGACGGTCTCGACGTCGGGGCGGGAGGGGCGGGGGATGGGGCGGAAGACGGGGCGGGGGCGGACTGCGCCGGCGGGGGCCTCTCCGGGGGCTTGTTGCCCGCCAAGCTGATGACACCAGCCTGAAAAACAACACGGCCATGTCAATCTGGGCCCCACTTTGAGGCTGGTTCAACGTCGACTTTGGTACTGACCTTGGGAGGCTGCTTCCTGGGCTGTGCAGGAGAGCTGCCGGGGGGCGGGGGCCTTGAGGGGGGAGCAGGTCTCGGAGGGGGCGGTCCACCACGAGGCATGGCAGGTGCGTCGTCCTCATCCCCAGGACTCCATCCTCCAAGTGAACCCTCACGAATCAGTACAGCTGGTGGTCAAAAATCGTATTGATTAGAAAACTTAAATTGAGTAACAATACGGTAGGGTGCATCCCACGACAAGTTTCCATGCATTTGAGGAAAATAGAAAAATGTAGGGTGCAAACTTACGGTCCATTTCATCAGGAGATTCTGCATCAATATCCCAACCACTAAGAGCTGAGTATTCGCAAAGGGCAGTCGTATTATTGCTGCAAAGGGCAATCTCTTTCTCTGTCTGTGCTCTCCAATTGGCCGTCTTCAGAGAGAACTGAAGTGAGTGGCCCATCAACTGTAATAAAAAGAAAACCAGGTATGAAAAGCATTGGCAAACGATGGTGCATTCCTAAAAGTTGTGATATTGCCAATCCTACCTTCATGGTTCCCTTTTTAACAGCAGCCAGAGCACACTGGCCGTCCCGGAAAGTGACCCACATTGTGTCCTCAACAAAGCGCACCAGGATTACTTCACCAATTTGGGCCAGCTCTTGGAGTAGAGCGGTCATAAACTCATCATCAAAAATGTTGCCATCATCACTGGCATTTGGATCAACAGCCTGGAAAATTAACCTTTGTCATTAAAAATGGACAGCTCAACATTACTCAGACAAACATTTTTAAGTTGAAGAGTAAATGTACCTGAACGACAACTGTAGCATCTGGCGGTCCCAGATCTTGGATAACTTCCATGAAGACTTGTTTACGACGCTCATCATCAACCCGGTAAATGTCTATGTCAACTATTGCTATTACAGGACGGTGGTCACTCTGCTTCAACTCGGCACGGCCGTAATGCACCAGTCTGCCGGGGTTCCAGTCAGGCCCACAAGCTTCTTCAATATGAAAATGAGAAATAGATGAGCATTTCACCCTTCACTTGACACTCCACATCAAAAGTTGACAGGTCTTTACCTGTTTCTGGCTGCTGCTTGCGTCTCTTCCACAAGACTCGATCAGTCCAAGCTGGGGCCCGGCACTTTTCACTCGTGTCAAAGTCTTCAGAGAAGAGGTCATATTTGTAAGTTGGAGGGAAAGTAATTTCACCTTCAATAAAGTTTTTGAAGACATTTCCTTGCTCTTGTTGAACCTACAAAAGAAAAGAATATTTTAGTATTACATATGATATTTGGCAATTAGAAGAAACTAACTGTAACTATTAGAGATCATACCCTCAATTGGTCACACTGAAGAATAGGTTCCAACTCTCCACGCTTAACATGTTCTTTTATTTCATCCTTGTCCATGTCCACACGGTAGTTGAAATCTCCACACCAAAATACATAATCATGAGAATTTAATGTTCTCCCCTGAAAAAATGTTACCAATTAAGAGATGGCACAAAGACAATATGTATGTGAAGGCTTCGATTGAACAGCTTACTCACCATAGGGAATGTAACTTTCCTTGTTATTTCAGCGTAGTCAGCATTACGTTCACTGACTTGCGATTGGCCAGCAGCAAAATGTGCACATACAAAGCAAATAGATGTGCTATAGAAGACTAATCTTATGGCACATGCACCCTTGTTTCCTAAATAAAGATTACAACTTAGTTAAATGAAAATCTTAAACCCAGATTTATTTGATGAAATGAATCGATACTTACCAGTGGCCCCACCCAGACCCGTTTTGACTGAATCAATAGCCACATCTCTAATGAATGGGGCATGTTCTTTGCGAACAAAAAGGTACAAACAGACACCCACTAATTGAACATAAGTCACTGGCACGTAATCTCGATCACGAGAGAGAACTTTTTGAAGTTCAGTTGCCCACAACTTGGCATTTTCAGAACTGTAAAAAAAGAGGTAAGAAAATCAAAGCCAATTGCAAACATCAAAGAAATTATATAATTTTGTAAAATACAGACTGGACCATACCTAGCTGCCATGATATTACTCGCATTCAAATCAACAATTTCTTCAAACCCTATAGCATAAATATCCACTGGAGATTCTTCATTAGGAGGATTGGAAACATCAACAAGAGCTAGGACAAAAAGAAAAACAGCACATAGTATTATCAATCAAAATCGAAAGTTTTCAAAGACAAGATTCTTAAAACGAAAGGCAATACATTAAAACATTTAGAAAATACATACAGTTTGACTTTGCAAGACGTGGAGCGTCTAGAAGCCAGTCTGCTAGAGAGACATCTTTGTACACAACACTTCGGAAGTGTTTGCCTCCGTTCACATTGTAAGTTCCAACCCCAATACGGGCATTGGCAGGAAGTACGTATTCAGAGAAGCGCTTGCACATCTCTCTCAAAACACTTGTAGGTGCTGAAAGAGAGTCACATAAGTTAGGGAACATCAAGACAAAACATAAGAATGTCATATTGAGAGAATAGGAACTGAATTTACCATGCAACATGTTTGAAGGAAGGAGAATCCTTGCTCTGTCTGCAAGCTCACTACTCAAGGTTGATCCCAGAAGGAGGATGTCAATAGCTTCCTGTTTGCTGTTATCGAGTAAATTATTTTGAATAGTTCGTGCAGCTGAGCGAGCTCCATCCATAAGCTGTGAAAAATGGCAAATTAAAGATTGAAACTTTCTGCAGATAAGAGTTATTTATAGCCATAACATTCTGAATAGCATTCTTGCTTACCTTGGAACCTCCTTGAATGGCGCCTGTCCCAGCATATATTTTGCTTATTTCATTACCATTATTGATCCACATCTGTCTGAACACTTCTTCAAATCGAGAGACCATAGTCTGTTTCACCATTAGGTTCAAAAGTTCCAACTGTTTGGATAAAGTCTATAATGGGGAAAAAAATTAAAAATATTATCATAAGTACATTCTCCCACATTCCAAACCCTTCATGTTAGAGTAAAAAATTACCTCAAGCCCGAAAAAGGTCTGCACACAGTTGGTACGATCCAAACAGTCCAGGCAATTTGTTCTCACAGTTCCATTCTGCTCACTACACAAATATAACACACACAATAAGATTTGATCACACACATCACATAGATTGAACATTTCTTTTTTTATCACCCTGATCTTACCTCAATATTTCATTCTCCTTCCCATAGAAGACAGAAAATGCCTTCAGACATTTCTCAACTTTTGCTTTCAACCGGGCTAAATTTTTAGTGTTGCCTCCCCTACATTCCTGGTGGTAATCAAATACTATATGTGGCACGTCCTTATGCTGGGATAATTTATGGTGAGCCTAGAAAAACAAAAGTTAATATGAAGTCACTTTAAAAAACATAAGCACCAAATAGTTCTGATGAAATAACGGTCTACCTGAAACAGTTGACTTAGGGTGGCTTCACCCTCCTTACTCCCTACAAGGCTAGTACCCAATAAATTTACTATAACCTGATGACCATATCTTTCCTTGATAAGAGAAAGATGTCTATCAAACACAGGAGCAGACACCTCATAACCACGAGACATTTTTACTTTGTGAGAACCAACCTAGGAAAGAGAAAGAATTTTATAAATTCGTTAACTCTATTGAAACAAAGTACACACATGGAAAAATGATACTGACTTGTACACCTGGTTGCTCCCAGAATAGAGGAACAGATCCACGGGTTTGAACAAATGATGTTACTTCAGAATCTAAATATATGGCTTGCTCTGTTTCAACAAAGTTTGCAACATGACCATCATCATTACTTCCACGAACGTTAAATCTGAAACCAAAGGTTAAAGTCAAGAGTACAGAAAATAATGAAGATTCTACCACATGTATACATTTTTATTAACGCCAACATAGGGAACTACAACAAGACAACAGAAACTCACCTTGTTCCTGCTCTTTCACAGCTCAACCTGGATATTATCATGGCTTGAGCTTTTTTACTTCCAACATAGACAGTTCGTATTTCTACACTGCCACACATGGCTTTCAAGAGCCAGTCCGAGCAACTGACACTAAATCTTAGAAGATGAATGTGTAACATCCGATTCCTGAAGGAGTCCAAATAAACTTTTATAGAAGTTCAAATTTATCAAATCAAATTTCAGAATTCTGGAATGATAAACTCACCAAAAGAATCTGTTGTCAGTTTCAGATGATTTAGTTCTACGTTGGGCACATAATGTAAGGTCCAAGGGCTCGCCTGATGAAGTCCAAGAAAAGTAGAATGTGCCAGAATTTAATAGTTTGCGTACCTAAAAAACAAGGAATAAAATGAAAACATTGCAATGGGAAGAACTATTTCAGGATAACTGTTTTTTGAGAAAAATACCTCAGATATTCTCTCTTCATCCTGAGCTTGGTTTCTCAATGACACAAAATGTGTTTGAGTGATTCGAAACACATCAGAGTCCGAAACTTTTCCAACAGAAACACAGCCCGTTACCATAACAAGGTACAGTACAGTTGTTTCCCCTGAAAAGCACAAATGGTGCACATAAAATATATGAAGACATCTACAGCAGGTTGTTTCTGTATTGGACTTGAATGAACACCAATTACCTGCATTGAGCTGAAGAACTCCAAGACAACCATAAGCATCAAGTAGTTTAGAATATTGCCTTTTGACTGATTCGGTCTCTTGTGGAGCTGAAATAACAGAAGATACAAGTTGTAATTTAAGCTGTTACAGCAAAAGAAAAATCTAACCTTCAAAACAGAGGACATCTGTGTCTGAACGTCAAATTTGGAACTAAGGAGACGTGACACAGGGTAAAGAGGCGAACAAGATACTGAGAAGTCGCGTTACAAAAGCAAGACAATTCAATAACGATGAGTGAAGTGTCAAATAAGGTTTCTGTCAAAGTAACACCCCCCACTGACAGCTACGAGAAAACAGATACGCACATAGGACAGCCACAGCCTGGGATTCGAACAGCAACGTGTCCTCCTTGTTTCTTTGCTCCAACAAAACACTGTACGGGTTCGGAGGATTTGATTTTTCTAAAACCCGAAATCCTTTTCCCATCGCCATGGTAAAAAGCCAACGCCGATGAGGCGCACAGCTGACGGGACCAACTTCTCTCCCTTCCTTCTCCCTTCGCGACTGTGGGAGGCAGACGGACCTTATTCACATTCGGTTTCGATCTTCTGTTCTTCCAGTAGTGCAGCAAGGCTAACTTTCATGAGAAATTTATTTTTCAGATCAGAGGCGGAATTCCCTGAGAATTCCCAGAGATAAATGCTAGTATTTATCTCTGTCGTGATTCGCGTGGTTTAGGAAAAAGGGAGAGAGAGTATGCATGTGTTTTAAAACAAAGAGCTTCGCACGGCAGATTTTATTCGACGCGGATAACAGCAAACTGGCGAGCTTCATGTCGTGCACGGAAGGCAGGTCTTGCAGTCCACGACGGTCATCTTCTCGGCCTCCTCGGTGGTCTCGGGCAGCGGCCGCCCCCTGGTCTCGGGGAAGAGCAGCGCCAGCAGCCCGCTGGACAGGGACACCACGCCGAACAGGGTCAGGGGCAGGGACTCGTCGATCGACGCCTGAAACGCCATCGCGTCAATCGTTTCATTTTGTTTGAATTTTGTTTCGAAGGGGAAAGGGGTTTGACTGACCAGCAGTGGAGTCTGCGGCGCGAGGATGGTGCCGACGCGGCCGAAGGTGGAGCCGTAGCTCATCATGGAGTTCCGCGCGTTGGTGGGGAACATCTCCGCGGTGATGACGTAGATCACGCAGAAGGAGATGGTGATGGCGAACTTGCCCAGCATGTACACTAGTATCTGTGCCCACTGCACATCTGCAGGGAGGAAAAGGAAAATCGAATTGTAAAACTCTGGTACATTTTAAAATGTGGCAAAATTTAAAAACAGAAAAAGAAACTAAAGGGTGTAGGTAGTGGGAACCTGTGGGAATGACCAGGAAGGCGAGGCAGCTGGCCCCGGCCACGATGAGGGTCCCCGCCAGCGACCCCCGCCTGCCCGCGGCCTCCTGCAGCCAGAGGGCCAGCATGTTGGCGGGGATCTCGACGAGCCCCGACAGGATGAAGTTGACGTACTGGTCGCCCGAGAGGGTGGCCGCGTTGAGGGACAGCCCGTAGTACACGAACGTGTTGGCCATCCTGGGGGCAGTGAGGGCGCTGAGGGCTCGGACGGCGCGTTGACGGGGAGCACGATCGCCTTCTTTGCCGACGCTCACTTACTCGGACTCACCAGCAGTAGCAACAGTTGATGAAGCGGATCATCAAAGAGGCGGACTTGAAGACGGCCACCAGGTTGTGCAGCGTGCTGGCCTCCTGGCTCTCCCCCGACTGCTGAGAGAGAGACCGGCCTTGCACAGTGGGCCAGAAGATCGGTGGAGGCGGTCGAAAGCCGAATGCGTTTTGAGCTCCAGAGTCGCTAACTGGGGCTCGAACCGAACGTGTGACCCCACCAATGGATTGCCCTCCGAACGATGAATCCATTGGTGGGGTCACACGTTTCGTTGGAGTCCTTTTCGGCGACTCTGGAGCTCAAAAGGCGTCTAGAGTTGACCGCCGACGCCGTTCTTCCGGCGACCCACTGCGCCCTGGTGAGGCTCTCGCTTGCTCTGGCATGATCGTCTCGTCTTTCGCGAACCCCAGCCGTACCAACCTTGCCCACCGCCTTCGAGGCCTGCCCGGCCTGCCGGTCGGCTACACTGGACAGCGTCTCGCCGACGGCCACCTTGTTGATGGCGGCCACCCTCGCCACGATGGCGTCGGCCTCCGCCAGGCGGCCCTTGGCGGCCAGCCAGCGCACGGACTCGGGGGTGAACCAGAGCGGCAGCGCGAACAGCAGCCCGCCGCCGTAGATGGCGCGAAGGAGCCACCGCCAGTCCCGGACGGCGTAGGCCAGGCCGCCCAGCACCGCGTTGCCGCTCGAGTAGAAGATGCTCAGCACCGTGGTGGGCAGCACGCGCTGCTTCGGCCCCACGAACTCCATCGCTGGATCGCAGAGATGGATCGATCAATCGAATCACGCCAACACCGACGGGCCGGCCTCTTTTGCGGTGATGCTGACCTTACCGAGCAAAAAGCCCGCGGCGTAGACGCCCGCCTCGAAGAACAAGTTGCAGAACTCGAAGACCAGGAACATGATGAAGTTGGAGGAGAAGGACTGGATGATGCCCGACAGCGACGCGAGGACCCACGCCCACACGAAGAGCGTCTTCCTGCCGAACCTGACAGCCACCACGTCAGTCACCAGTTCAGCCTCGTCCACCACCCTCCAGGTTCCAGCAGACTGATTCCGGGAGCCGTTTTCGTCTGTCTCTCTCGCTTTCACGGGGCGTTCCTTTGGAGGTGCAAGAAAGACAGAGCGACGAAAACGACGGCCGCTGGCTGGACTCACCTGTCCGACACGAACCCAGACACGGGCATGCTGATGAAGGCGCCCACGGACCCGATGGTCCCCACCAGGGACAGCTTCCACTTGTTGTCCTCACACGTTAGGTCCCACTGCGCCGATCAAGGAAAAAGTAAGAGTTGTCATTTCCTGCTCTCAACTATTAATAACCCATTTGCCGTCGAAATGTGATGGTTTCGTGCCAGGTCACCGCTACTTCGACTAAGCCGTGCGTCCATCTCCCAAAGAACACGAAACGCTCACTACAGTGACGTCATTTTGATGTCAAGTTTTTGACTTCCTTTGACTGCTTCGTGAGTGTTTCGTGTTCTTCGGGTGGCTGCCTCCGCGCCCCCGTGGCATTTTCACAGGTGCGAGGAGGTGGCTGAGGATGCAGCAGCGCGTCGGTTCGCCAAAGCGGCGGTCACGGAGCCACGTGGGCGGTGGTACACTCGTCGGCTACCTCGTTGACCAGTGTGCTCCGCTGGCCCGGTTCGTACACCCACTGGCCGCATCGCTGCGGCACCGTGTCGAACCGCGCGGAGCAGCTGCCGGCCTCGGCGACGGCCTCGGTGGCGTTGAGCAGCGGCTGGAAGCGGTCGCAGGGCTCGGGGACGCCGGCCTTGAACGGCACCGCGGTCGGCAGCCACGGCGGGGAGAAGGCCGCGGAGGCCGCGGAGCTGGACTCGCACTCGGGGACAAGGCACCTGTCAGACGAAAGGCAAAAGTCAGAGAACGTGGTTCAAACACTGCCCGTTTTAGGCGGGTTAGTTTTTGTCGCCTTTCGTTTGGCTACTTGGAGTGCGTTGGTTGATGATCGCCGGCCGGGGATTAGTCGGCGACGTCACCGCCGTGGCGCACCGTGGCGGCAGACGCCGTTAAGCCCCCCAATCAAGAGCCGCGGCCAGGGGGGCACTTCAGCGCGCTTCAGCCGCCGGAAAGGGGAGCAGGGAAATGTGGTGCAACTCGGTACTATTTAAACTAGAGAAATGGAAATCCACCCCTCTCGACTAGAACCACAACAGAGATTGTGACAATCTCCGTGGTTTCGTTGTCGGAGACGCGACGGCCGACGGCCACGCTCACCACGTGCGCGGCAAGCCCGGCGAAGCAGCCGAAGCCTTACCGGTAGACGAGGTCCTGGGCGGTGTACACGTAGGCCAGGCTGTAGAGCGCCGAGAACATGATCGGCATGTTGACCACGAGGCAGTTGATGAACTGGAAGCGGCCGAACTTGCCCACCTGCAGCAGCACGCGGTCGACGTCCTCCGGGGAGATCATGTTGGTTCGGTGGCGCGCACGCCTGGTGCCTGCGGTGGCTATGGCCCCTTCCCACCGTGTGTCTGGCCGTCTGCGCGTCTCGCCGTCAGACACGCTCATTCAGTCTCCTGATAAAGACAACGTAGAGCACCTCGCGCACGGGGTAGGTGCGAATTGAAGCGGCGATACCCCGCGCCGCTGCATTTCGGCGCCCGGCTTTCAAAACGCACCGCTGGGGCCCGGCCACGCCCCTCTTCCTTTGCTGGCGGTGGCACCACAGAAGAAGGCCCAAAGTCCCACGAGGCGCCAGCAACCCTTTGCAACGGGTGTTTGGCGGTAATGGTTTGCCTGTTGACGTGGCAACACTGGCGGTGGGCAAGGCCGCGGCAAGGCGCCAGACGATCATTTGTGGTCCAGCCATTAATCGCAATCGCAATCGCCTGCGAGGTAGGCAGTCCCGTTTGCGCTTGTGTGTGTTGCTCCACGACGGTGGCCTACCCCGCCATTACCATTACCACCGACACATATGCCCGCCTGCACTGCAAAACGAGACATGGCCGTCCTTACTAAGGAGACACGCCGGCGGAGAGACCGTTCCGCAGTCGCGGGTCACGTTTGCAATTGTTTTTGTTTTGAATTCTTTTGAACGAAGAAAAATAAGGGGCCAAATAAATATGCTGCAGTCTCTCCATCGACTCTTGTATCTTTTTATTTTTTATCACATCGCGTCATTTCATGTCGCTTACACACTTTCACGCCAACAAGGTTTTACACAGTACAGATCGGCGAAGAAACGATTCGACGCTTGCTGCTCGGTGCGCAGTGGAGTCGAGCTTCAATGCTAGACAAACGCACATCGTGAGCAACTACTCATCTTTATACGCGCATACTCAGAGCACTCCCTTGCACTATGGCTTTATCGCGGAGAGGATGTGAACGAAGCCCTGCAGACTTAATCCGAGAGTCGTTTTCGTCGCTCTGCCTCTCTCGCACCTACACGGGACGTCCCACGAGTGTGAGAGAGGCAGAGCGACGAAAGCGACTCTCGGGATCAGTCTGCAGCTATCTGGTCTGGCGATAGCGGAGCGGTGGCGCGATGCTTGTCGAAGGAAGGCGCACTCCGTGGCACTTCGTGCACTCCGTGTCCGGCCGTCCGGACGCAGAGAGGACGGCGACGGTGTCGCGCCGGCGGGGGTCTCGGAGGCGCCGCGCGACGAGCAGGTCTGCGGACTTCGCGCGGACCTCCCGAGCGAGTCAACGCGGCTCAGAAGATGCTCTGCGTGGTCCTCGAGGAGCGAACGCCGTTTACAGAGGCGATGCAGCGCCGCGTGCTCGCTGTCTCTCTCTCTCCCTCTCTCTCTCTCTCTCTCTCTCTCTCTCTCTCTCTCTCCCCGATTGGATTTTCCGACACGCCGTGTCACGCGCGCGTCTCTCTCGCACGACGCGGCGCTTCACGACTTGGCGTCCTTCATGAGGGGCTTCTCGGCGGGCAGGGCGTCGCGCGCCAGGGACAGCTCGGCCTCCCTGCGGCGGTAGCGCTTCGGGATGAAGAGCTGCGACACGAAGCCCACGGCCATCAGGGCCACGAGCAGGCCGTGCGCGGCGTGCGGCCCGTACGCCGTGAAGATGCGGCTGTACGCCAGCGTGAACACCAGCGAGCACGGCTGCGGGCAGGCCAAAGGGGCAGGCGGGGGCGTTAGGGCTATTGGAGCTGGAGCAACCTGACGTCTCACAGAGTTGAGGGATGGGCTGGCCCATGGGCTGCGGCGGCAGCGCGGCAGAGACCGCTCGTCTCGCTCTACTGCTGCAGCCGATACCGCCGCACTGTCGCGCCATGGCGGTTAGGCCGCGGGCTGGCCCATTCCTCATCTCTATCCCACAGTGGTCCAGAAGACCGGCGGCGCAGGCGGCCGAAACTCCAGACGCGCATTGAGCTCCAGAGTCGCTAAACAGGACTCGAACCGAACGTGTGACCCCACCATTGGATTCCTCGTTCGGAGAGCAATCCATTGGTGGGGGTCACACGTTCGGTTCGAGTCCCATTTAGCGACTCTGGAGCTCTGAACCTGTCTGGGATTTCGACCACCTCCACCGGTCTTCCGGCCCACTGAGCCACGTCGGCGATGACGACGGCGACCTCGCACTGACCTGCATGAACCAGTTGAGGATGGACGTCGGGTTGCCCTCGGGCTCCGGGTACGTGAGCTCGACGGCCATCTCGTAGGCGGGGACGAAGTAGCTGGTCATGAACACGCTGCAACGACGCGGCCAGTTAGCAGGGCGAACAAGGGCGAACAGCCAGACAGACAGTAGACTGATTCCGAGAGCCGTTTTCGTCGCTCTGTCTCTCTCAAACCTATACGGGACCTCCCATGAGTGCGAGAGAGACAGAGCGTCGAGAACGACTCTCGGAATCAGTCTGCAGACAGACAGATAGACAGGAGCGCCTACCCCATGATGCCGGCCACCACGTACAGCACTTCCATGGAGGTGGTGGCGATGCACACGGAGTACATGATGACGGAGGCGAAGGCACCGAAGTACGTGATGATGGACAGCTCTCTGAAGGCACAATGGGAAAAACTTTTTGTTAGCGCTTTCATTTTTCGCGAATAGTTTTGCGTGGCGGAACGGTAGGTGGACGCACTTGAACTTCTTGGTCTTGTCCAGGATGATGCCGAACACCATGGTGGCCACCATGCCCGTCAGGCAGATGAGCGTCGCGAGGTAGCCCGTTTCCGCGGTGCGATCCTGGACAGGAAAACAAAAACAAAAATCAAAACTGAAAGATCGTTAATTAAAAAACTCGTCTAGTCATGCGTGCTATCTGTGCCGCTCTAGTGGGCTATGATATCGGTGGGAAAAAGAGGCGGGAGGGGGGGTAATCGGGTAATCCGCATGGATTAACCTTGGAGTGGCCGAGTGTGTTTACCGAAGCCGAATGGCGCCTCATCCAGCATGATCAAGCAGAGGTGCGGCTGCACTGCGAAAAGCGTTTCCGTCGCTGTCTCTCTCGCACCGCCACGGCCCGCCCCGCGGAGTGCGAGAGAGACAGAGCGCCGCACAGTGGGCCAGAAGACCGGTGCAGGCGGTCCAAACCCCGGACGCGTTTCGAGCTCTAGAGTGACTAAATGGGGCTCAACCGAACGTGTGACCCCACTAATGGATTGCTCTCCGAACGAGGAATCCATTGGTGGGGTCACACGTTCGGTTCGAGTCCTATTTAGCGACTCTGGAGCTCAAAACGCGTCTGGAGTTTTGGCCGCCTCCACCGGTCTTCTGGAAAATCAGGCAAAGTCACTGTGCGCCGTTCGGCAGACCTACCGGGAAGAACTCGGTGATGTCCCTGTTGATGACGGTGGTGATGGCCACGTACACGCTGAGGATGAGGTTGAAGCAGACGAGCAGCAGGATGAAGCTGGGCTGCTTTATGATGGTGCGCAGCGACGCGAAGTAGTTGCCCGACGGCACCGTGGCGGCCGCGGCCGCCTGCGCCGGCGACGGCGGCAGCGGGGGCGCCTGTTTGAACACTGCACCGCCCGGTCAGTCTCTCAGCCTACGCCCACTAACGCAGTCCGCTGACTGTTCCCGAGAGTTGTTTTCGTCGCTCTGTCTATCTCGCACTCATGGGCCGTCCCGTAGGTGAGAGAGACAGAGCGCCGACTCTCGTAATCAGTGTGCAGTATCGTGAAGGCCTTACGGAAGAACACCGCCGCGAACAGGAGGGTGGCCGCCATGGCCAGCGCCAGGTTCAAGCCGAGGAAGCCCTTGAAGTTCTCCTCCAGCGTCCAGCTGGCCCTCGCCGTCATGGGCGCAAGCACACAGCCGATGGACACGCCCCCCTGGGGAAAACGAGGAGTCGCCGTAGAGTCGGACTCTCTCTCTCCAGCCAGCTCACCGGCAAACTCGTCAACGAACCATGGAGCCGACGATGGAGGCACCGACCGCGGAGGACACCTCGTTGGCCGGGAACCACACGGCCGCCACCCGGGGCGGCGCGGACACCAGGAAGTTGGTGGCGATGGAGACGATGGCGTGGCCCGCCAGCACCGCCCACCAGTGCTCCGGCCAGCAGCCCAGCACGCGCAGCCACAGCCCCGCCGCCGTCAGCAGGGCGCCCAACAGCACGCTGGGGCGCAGGCCCTGTCCAAGTAGGTAGAACCGCCAGTGTCACACACCGCACAGTGGGCCAGAAGACCGGCGGCGGCGGCCGAAACTCTGGACGCGTTTTGAGCTCCAGAGTCGCTAAACAGGACTCGAACCGAACGTGTGACCCCACCAATGGATTCCTCGTTAGAAGAGCAACCCATTGGTGGGGTCGTCACACGTTCGGTTCGAGTCCCATTTAGCGACTCCGGAGCTCAAAACGCGTCCGGGATTTTGACCGCTTCCACCGGTCTTCTGGCCCACTGTGCATCGGGCAGCGATTCGCCCCTGCATATTTTCCCTCTTCCCCTGAGCCTGGCAATGGCGTGGCTCGACTCACGTGTTTGTCCAGGAAGTAGGCGGCGGGGACGACCAGCACCGTGGCCGTCACGTTGTACACCAGGGCCGTCCACTCGACCGACTCGTAGCTGATGCCGTAGTACGCGGTCACCACGTCGGCCAGCACCGTGTACTGCATCCAGGGCACGGCGTTGAGCAGCAGCACGCTCACGTACAGCACCAGGATGACCCAGCGCCGCTTGTACACCTTGATCTGCGGCCGCCCGGCCTCGGCCACCGCCGCCTTCACCACGTCCATGTCGTGCCGCGCTGAGAGTTTCCTAGTGGAGCATCACTGCGAACCGAGAGGCAGGGTGTGAGTGGGCTGTCCGAGGGGGTGTCCGGTGACTCTTTACGTATACGTGGCTGACGAACGATGACGCAATCACGCACAATCAACGCATGTGCAAAAATCGTTCGTGACGAATGGGAGAAGAATTTGACGTGCAGTTGTGCAGAGGCGTCGTGTCGTCCGCCCCCGCGGTTACAGTGTCCTGGACGCGACCTGGACGTGGCCCTGGTGCCGGTGTGCGATTCACCTTGCCGACGGCGTGGTCCTCTGCGTGCTCGGCGTGCTCGGCGTCCTGGCGGCGCGGTGGCGGCCGGTTTACTCGCACTGCCAGTGCACTCACTGCCAGTTCCTTGTCCGGCTTTCTCTAAATCGCGCGCTCGCGCCTCGGCTTATCGCAGCCAATGGCAGATGGCCTGCTGATACCCCTCTCGCATGGCGCTGCCGCTGCTGCCGCCGCCTGTGGCGCTCGGCCCCCTTTGGCCCTTCGGCCCTTCGGCCCTTCGGCCCTTCGCACCTTCGGCCCTTCGCCCTTCGGCCCTTCGCACCTTCGGCCCCTTCACCCCTTCGGCCCTTCGCCCCTTCGGCCCTTCGCCCCTTCGGCCCTTCGCACCTTCGGCCCCTTCACCCCTTCGGCCCTTCGCCCTTCGGCCCTTCAGCCCTTCGGCCCCTTCACCCCTTCGGCCCTTCGGCCCTTCGCACCTTCGGCCCCTTCACCCCTTCGGCCCTTCGGCCCTTCGCACCTTCGGCCCCTTCACCCCTTCGGCCCTTCGGCCCTTCACCCTTTGGCCCTTTGGCCCGGCCCCTCTCGTGTCGAGTGTGTGGACCAAAGCCAAGTGATTCGAGTAATAAATTAGCGAGGCAGCGGTGTGCGCTTATCGGGACTTATCTCGAGACGCACGTGTTGTGTCCCTGTGGCGTAGTGGGAGTGAGTGTAGTGCAGTACAGTGCAGCACTCCGGCAAGCCGCCGGCAAGCACTCTGAAGCACTGGGAAGGTGCGGCGGCGTCTTTGATTGCCTCTTTCCATTATGTCATGTTGTTATTGCCATTGCCGCGGTCGACGGACTGTCGGACCCGCACTCCTCCAGTACACTGATTGTGAACATGGTTCCGTCGCTCTGTCTCTCTCGCACTCATGGGGCGGCCCGCGGTGCGTCGCGGTCCTCTCTCCTCTCTCTCTCTCCCCTCTCAGCCGCGACTCGGATCGCTCTAGGGAGTCGGGGAGCCACCCAGCCAGCCTGCGACCTTGACGGGGAGACCTTGCCCTTGTCAGCCGCGTGATCCAGGGGAACCGTCCCGTCGCTCTGTCTCTGTTGCACTCACGGGACGGTCCGTTTCGGTGCGAGAGAGACAGAGCGACGAACCGCTCTTCCGAACCACAGGGCTGCCATAGCCTGGTCCCAATGGGCCTAATGGAGCCCAACACGACACGTGTGGGTCAGAGGGCACTCTCTCCCTCTCTCTCGCAGCCCTACGCGCCGCCCCGTGAGTGCGACAGAGAAGGATTGCGGCCTCGAGGACCTTGCCTAGGATTAGTGGCGTGCAAACCTCGCGGCCGTCGGCTTGCTAGCTGTGCCGGCCCACGAGTCCGACGCTCGAATTAGACTCCAACTCCGTCCATCCGGCGGAGCGCGGCGGAGTCGCCGGTCCTCCTCCATAAAGCCCTTTGGCGCGTCGTCTCGCGTCGTCTGGAGTGGCTGGGCCGAGGGCAAGGCCGCACAGTGGGCCAGAAGACCGGTGGAGGCGGCAAAACACTAGACGCGTTTTGAGCTCCAGGGTCGCTAAATGGGACTCGAACCGAACGTGTGACCCCACCAATGGATTGCTCTCCGAACGAGGAATCCATTGGTGGGGTCACACGTTCGGTTCGAGTCCCATTTAGCGACTCTGGAGCTCAAAACGCGTCCGGGGTTTTGACCGCCGCCATTGCAGTGACCGGGCCGAGCGGGCCAAAGCCCCTGCAGCGCGCGGGGTGGACGGTACCGCTGGGCCGGCTGGTGCGGCGGGCGGCCTACCCTCGGTCAGACGGGCGCCTTGCCTTGCTGCCCGCAGACACTTCCCGAGAGTAGCTCTGTCTCTCTCGCACTCATGAGGGCGGCGAATGGTTGCGAGAGAGACAGAGCGGCGAGCACTGCCTCGTACCTGGCTAGGGTGTCCACACGACGCCACCCGTTCATCTCCTCATTCATTGCTATCGAGTCAGTTTCCAGGTTCAGGCGGCAAAAACGCCTGTCAGCTCGGTTCGGAATCACTGCTCGGCTCGTCGTTCAAACTGACCTGCTTCGGCTGCGTGCTGCTGCCCCACTGGTGAAGTCACCGCGTTCTCCACCAAGGAGGCCGAGACCGAGACCGAGGACCGCAGCGTCGCGCCAGGACGGCCGGGACGCTCGCGACTGTTAGGACTGGACGGTCTTCTTCTGCACTGCCTGGCACTTCCTGCGACCTGGCCCAGCTTAGCCCAGCCTAGCCCCGCACAGCCTAGCCTAGCCCAGCCCCGTCTAGCCTAGAGGAGGGCCGGGGGAGGGGGAGGGGGGGGGTCTCTATTGGGCGGGAGGGGGCGTCCCCTGCGAATCGCGCTGCAGACTGATCCCCAGAGTCGTTTTCGTCGCTCTGTCTCTCTCGCACTCATGGGGCGCCCCGTATAGGCGCGAGAGAGACAGAGCGACAAAAACGACTGTCGGAATCAATCTGCTGGCAATGTGCGGTCGAAGGCCCCAGGAGGAAGGCAATCCGTACGGACACACCCCTCAGCCTGCAAGTATAGACGCCGGGAGGCACAACGAGGACATTGCCTTGACTGGTTTGGTTGTAGTTGGCCGTGTTGGAGCACTGCTGGCACGTTCCGATGTTTTTTTTTGTCCTGGCGCGAGCCGTGTTGGGAAGGAACACTCGCGAAAGCAACGACCTTTTGTTCCAAGTCTTCGTTTCTTGTTCCCGCGCCATTGTCGTGTCACCGTTCACGTCCTGTCCTTCATTCAATTTCAACGAAACGCCGCCGGGCGCACGGAAACGGAAAACTCAGCCCTAGCCTCGCGCCAGGCCCCACTCTGCCACTCGCGCATCCGAATGTGAATCTGGATCGGCTGCCTGCTTTGTTATTGGCAGTTGGACAGCCCTGGAAAAGTTTTCATGGAGGATGATAGAGACGTAGACTTCTGTCGTCTGGGTGATTCTTCGATCGTTTTTGTGCTGACCATGCTGTGACCTGCAAGAACGTTTGCTCTAACAGTGACTGACTTTGGCTAACAACATGTGTCGACCCACGTCAGCCCGTTAGTGCTCGCGTCATGGACCTGCCGTCGCCCTGATGTTGCGAATGGATAACCTCACCGAGCATGAATCAGACCCCTAGGCCCCCAGCCCCAGCCCCTGCCTGTGTTCTGTGTTGTGTAATTGCCGTGACACCGAGAAGCTGCCCCATGCCTCAGAATGGAGCCCCATCCGTGTAGCGACCGGGACGGCGCGGTGCTCGACACGGGGCAAAGGCAGCTTGCGGGCCCCGACGGGGCAGCCTCAGCCCCAGCCTCGGCCGCCACAGATAAACTGACAGGAGGGTGCAATCAAGATGGCCCGAAGAATGCACCCGAGTCAACAGACGAGGCTTTGGGGGAAGCGTCGGCACAGGCAGCGGAAGAAACTCACTCCGAGTGTAGTTCTCCCGCAGTCCTGCAAGAGAAGACAAGCGAAGAGTGTGCTGGAAGTGACGGTGCTGTAAACATTGTACGTGGAAGTGCTGAGTGTTCCGAAGAGAACGCAGAGATGACTGGTGTTTGTGAATTCAAGAGCGTTACACCAATCATTGTTATTGAGCATGATAGTGCTGAAAGCGGGGAAGGTGACAACTCGAATGATGACGATATGGACCCTTTGATTACCATTGATGATACTGAGTCTCAATCGTCTGATCTAATCAACTTCGATACAGTTTCATATGATGTAATGTGTCAGCATGGCGGGGAAGACGATGATGACGAAAAAAGCATTGCTACTCTTTCAAGTCTTTCCTGTGATATCAAAGTGGACTCACCGTCTAAACATTCTCAGGCCTCAAACTCATCAGGTCTCTCCAACTTATTAGACTCCTCTATCAAAGAAACGCTTGGCTTGGCAGTGAACCCATCTGCACCTTGACTGATGGTGCTGGATCTGCTGCCAGTAGTTGTCCATCCAGCCCATCCCTTCAATCTTCAAAGACGGTGTCCTCTGCAGTGGATGAAAGCATTTCCGAAGCATTTATGAATGTGTTGCAAATAAGTGAAGCAGATGAAGCAAGACTTGTTAATTGTGATAGTAAAGTATTAAGCGAAAAGGACTCTGAAGATAGTTGCAGAGTGGAAAGTGAAGAATCTGCTTGTGCTGTTAGAGCTGCATCCCCACAGTCAGTGGATGTTTTCAGAGACCCCAATCCTGTTGAAGAAACCATTGACATTCAATGTGGAGATCTTGTATTAGATTCCAATGGTGCCGAAGAAATGTCATGTCCTGTTGTAGAAAACCTGTCTCACTCCAATGCTGAAAATAACTTAAGATGTTCTCCTAATGAATCTAACATTGAATTGCAAATGTACGATGGTGACCATAATATTTCTGAATCCTTAAATGTACCTGAAATCTCTATATTAAACTCTCCTGAGGATGATATAGACATGCATAAGGAGGATGCTGTGAATTCCTCTCCTGAGATAAGAGAGCCTGAACCTTCTGCTCTTCTCACACCAAATGAAAATGACAACCAAAAATTCCACGAGGAAGAAAACGAAGTTAACAGTGCTGTGATGTCTTCAAGTCTACTAACTGGAAACCATGTGAACCATCCGACCGATTCAGGTGTGCAGGATTCAAATGATAATCTTGTTGGCATTTGTGAAGGAGAAGATATTATTTCATTTATGTTGCATCCAGATTCTCCTGCTAAAGTACCTGAAATTTCCCAAAATATTTCATCAACATCAATTGAAGAAATAATGTCCATCAGTACTTCTAATAATGTTGACATTAATGTTGCACTGTCATCATCAACAGAGGATGACATCCATTTTTCAACTGGCTCTCGTGATGAAGCTCTTGTGTCATCAACTTCAAATGAAGACAATTCTTGCTCTGCTCCTGTTGTATCATCAATTTTGGAAAATGAGGCAAATGGAACTGAAGAACATGTTTCTTCTCAAACGTCAATTGTCAATGAAAATATTCCACTTGAAGAAAATATTTCATCTTCTACAGCCTCATTGGTATCTGGAGAGGATATAAGTGTGGATACTTCTGAGAAAATTACGACAAATATTATGGACAGTCAAAACATAGAAGATGTATCTAACTGTTCTCAAGTTGCTAGAACTCCGTCTCCTGCTGACTCTGCTCTTTCCATGTCCAACTGTGTAACATCAGAAGAATCACTTCAGCGCATGAGTTGTGATAGCTCCAATGGAACCATGGAACTTATTTCTCTGGAAGCCATCAATGGCGATCTTTCATCTACTTCGGATGGACTTTCTGTGCCAGCTGGAAATATTAATGATGGCTTCCAAGCCAATGGAGATCTTACACAGTCTGCAACTGTGATGCTTGACAGTAAAGCCAAAAATTCTGAACCAGTTGAGAGTCCTAACTCAGGGAAAGTGGTAGAATCACCTCTTTCTGAAGGTGCTCTTTCGGAAGAAGTAATGAATAATGCACAAGAATGTTTGAATGTGAACTTTTCTGCAAGGTCACAATTAGTTGAGGACTTGAAAGAAAATTCGGACTCTATCAGTTCACATGCTGAGACTGGTTTCCCCAATGAGAGTGGATCTTTTGAAACTGTTGAGAGGCCAACAACTTTGCCTGAAATCAATCAAAACAATCCATCACCTGAGAAGTCATCTGGCATGAACTTCTCTGAATTCCTTGACCTCTTCAACATGTCAAACAGAGAAGGCCTGTCCAAACCTAAACAGTATGATGTTGCTACTCTTGATGAGGCTCAACAAATAGCAAGTTTGCTTGTGGATGATATAATACAAATGGCAATGATTAAGGTAGAAGAAAAATTGACTTCATCAGAATCTTTGATTGAGGATCGTGTTGAAGCTGTGCAAGTGGCACAAATACTTGTTGATGGTGTTCTTTGTGAAGCGCATGCAAGTTTTGTTGATGTTGGAAAGGCTGAAATCTCTACAATCTGTGATATTAAAGACAGTGGGAGCCACCACCCTGCGAGCTCCTCTGCAACTGTAGACTCTCAAGTCACTGATAATATTCTCAGCACAGAACCTTGTCTTGTTAGTTTCCCAGAGAGTACTGTGAACATCACAGAGGAATTGCCAGATTCTCAGAAAAATATTCTTAACATTTCAGAAGACGTTTGTGAAGCAAAGACTGAGCCCAGCCAGGAGGAGAGCCAGGCCATTGCTGACGAAAATCTGCCTTGCATTGCTGAAACGACTTCTAACATCAATAGCGATAGCACCTCAGACATTGTAAATATTTCAGAAGACAATAGCTTGAGTGATAGTCTAGTTGATGGGCAATCAAAAGATTCTGTCAGGACTTCATCCACTGAGAATGCAGGAGCAGATTTGTCCAGAAGTAGTTTGCTCACAACGTCTGAGCTGGGCTTAAGGTCAGAGGCCAGTCTATTTGTAGATGGTGTGCTACAAGAGGCTGTGAAGAAATACGAGGAATCGTCATCCAGTGAGACAAGCCCTGTGAAAATCAGAAGTCTTGCTCTGGATTCAGAATTCTTCCAAGAAGACGAGGAACTTGCCACTCCCTGTGGGGAAATGTTGACAGAGCATTTCATGGATTTTGAAAGTGGCAGGAATGTTAGTGTATTTTGTAGCATACCTGAAAATAGAAATGAAGACCATCTTCTAGCGTATGACAGAGTGGCTCACACCATTGGTAACAGAGAAGTTGATTCAGATACTGGTAAAAGTCTCAGTGTCTTTAGAATAGAAGAAGATGTTTTCTATGAAATTCAAAGAGCCAGCACATGCACAAGTGTCTTTGAAAGCGTAGAAGAGGAAGATGAAGATATGATTGATACAACCATTCCAGTTGAAGAGCGACCCGAAAAGACTTTATCTACTTCTGCGTCTTTCCCCAGCTATGATAAAGAGAAATTTGGTACCTCTGATGACCCATTCAGTGCTGATTGTGATGCTTTTGAGGATGCTGTTGGTGCTTTTCTTTCAAAGGAGAGATTAGCTCATAATGAGTTGAGAAATAGAGCCAAATCTGATTTTAGTGGAGCAACTGAGCAACAATCAGAGGTCACTTGTAGAGCACTGGTTTTAAGGCACCCAGAAATTGATATCAGTAACTCAGATGAGAAGAAGCGAATGGCTGAAAAGTGGGCCAATGGGGGTGAGTCAGAAGGTATAGTAGAGCTTTGTTTTCTTATCATTTCTTCCTTATATTTATTTTGCATAGATACAGTAACAAAAGTTTTCTTCTGTTTGCTACTACTTTGAAATGTTTTTATTCTGTTATGTACTTATTGTTTGACTTTATACTGCATTAATTAAATGTATAGTTGTATTAGTACAGTATTGGTTTTAGCAATTTTGCAACTACAATAAATTTGAGACTTACCGTACATTATGTAATATGTATTTTCTCCCAAATTCTAGTTCCAGATACTCCAGAAATGCGGGAAAAGCAGAAAGCTATTAAAGAGGCCTTGGATTCTGACGATGATGTTGCTGTGAAGCTGTGTCGTCTTGCTTTGACTGAAGGAGGGTTAATAAATGGTACTATCCCATCACCTGTTGCTTTTTTATTGCTGTTCATTTTAATCTAGTCCACTAACAACAGTTTTCATATGTTTCAGATGCCCTGCGACGTGAAGCTTGGCCAAGAATGCTTGGCTTAGATCCAACCCTGGAGGTGAATGCTCCGTCTTTGGAAGATCTTAAATCACATCCGGAATACGAGCAAGTTGTTCTAGATGTGAATCGATCCCTGAAAAGGTTTCCACCTGACATTCCTAAAGATCACAGGGAAACTCTCCAAGACAAATTGACTCGTTTGATTATGTATGTGATATCTAAACATCCACACCTCCGATATTACCAAGGCTACCATGATGTAGCTGTTACATTTCTTCTTGTGGTCGGAGAGAGTATAGCTTTTCAAATAATGGAAAGATTGTCTACGGAGCACTTATCAGACTGCATGCAGCCAACAATGGAGCGCACCTCTTACCTGCTCCACTTTATTTATCCTCTTCTGCACCGTCTTCATCCTACCTTAGCAGATTACTTAGAGAGGTATTTAATGTTTAAAATTGTAATCAAAGCTATCTTAAACCTTGTATACCTTTATGTTGCACTTAAACTGTATATTGTTTCTTTTTTTTTTCTAAGGTCTGAAGTGGGGACCATGTTCTGTTTGCCGTGGTTCCTCACTTGGTTCGGCCACAGCTTGGACCACTACAAGGATGTCGTTCGTCTGTATGACCACTTCCTGGCTTCGCCTCCACTGGCCCCCCTGTACGTTGCGGCTGTCCTGGTGGCTCATCGTGCTGATGAGGTGCTTGCTGTCGACTGCGACATGGCTGCCATCCACGCATTACTCTCGCACATACCAGACTCCCTCCCTCTGGAGATTCTCCTCCGTGATGCTACAGAGCTGTACATGAAGTTCCCTCCGCAAAGCATTGAGAGAGAAGTGGAGGAAAGGTTCAGGAACGAGTATGTGTCTCGCTTTGTAAACCTTGGGTTGAGTGTCCGCTGGTTTCCAGCAACTAAGTAGAGGTTTGCTTTGTCCTGCAGGCAGGAGACGGAGGCCAGGGAGAGGGTGCGCGCGTTGCGGCGCCGGCACGCGCGCCGCACCGCCAGCGGCACGTGGCAGCTCGCGGAGATCCAGGATCGCATCGGCGGCTCCATGATGGTGCTCAATCGCTGGATGCCGCCGTGGGTGGTGCAGCAGCAGCGTCTCTCGATGCGCTTGCTGTTTGCCTCAGCCACGTTCTTTGTAGGATTTTATGTATATTCTAGAGGAGGAGATATGCTCCCGTACCCCTAGCAGAAGCAACACACAACCTTCCCCGTGGTGTTGATCTCAATATTTCCTTGATTTAGCCTTTGCATTCCACTTAGAAGAAGCAGATTGACTTTGCATTGTATGGTTACTATACCCTGCTTTCTTTTGTGTCTGTGTTCTTTCTCACCCTAGATCTATTATAAATTTTCTCTCTTTTTTTTTCTTTACTTGTGCTTCAGTGATTGTTTTTCTTTTTTGAGTAAGTTTTTATGTAAATTACACCAAATAATGTTATGAGGGCTGTGTGAATTCTTGAGTGCGAAACACTCCTGCAATGTGGTGGCAATGTGAGACTGATATTATGTACTGGCATATCTTTATATTATTATGTCTTAAAGTGGGGCCTTCTCATGTTCATGTTGTATTGGAATAGCATTTTCTGTGTATGTCCATTTATTTCTTGTGTAGTTTGCTTAGGCCTCACTTATTTTTCTATTTATAGAATATTTTAATGTTTCACTTTTAAAGTGTACAAAATGTTAATAAAAATAAAAATTAGAGAGACATTAAGTTTTGTTGAACTAGTCACTGTTAATGTTACAGAATTTACACTAGTACTTTGAGTGAATTGAGTATGCTTGGTTATCCCAGTTTCTCATTAGTGTGGTACATTTGTTATTGTCGAAAGTATGTATTCACTATGTACTTTGGTCTGTTTTAAAATTTGAAAAAATATAAATTATGTTATTGTTATGTTTTTGTGTACCAAACTTGAAACCTAGGGATACTAGTGCTACAGTAGGTGAATATTTGGAAAATTGTTTCTTGTTTGATTTTGTCTAGAATGATTGAAGAAACAATAGCTCAAAATTACACTCCTCTGTGCCTGACTACATTTACTGTCTTCAGCAGCAGACTTCAGGTTCTTCATATTCATTGTACTATAAGCTTACTACCACACACTCATGATTAACTGAATTCCTCTACTTTTATTTCCATGGTGCAATATATGCTCTGTAATACTTGCTCAGGAGTTTTAGAAATGTTTTAGTTTTGGAAATTATGATGTCAAACTTTCTTGTGTTTAAAGTTTGTTGTGTTGAGTGAGTGATGTTGTGCACTTGTTCTAATGCACAACTTAGAGTTTTATGAAGCTAAAAATGACAAAATGAGAATGGAAGGAACAGGTTTGTAAGTTTCTATGTAATGGTAAGAAACTAAGGTTTAAGGTTTTGTTATGACAGCTTGCTTTGAACGCCATTTTCTCAAATAAACTACTCTACTCAATAAATATCAGTTAAAACATTTTATTTAACTCCTTTACCTCTACTACCTTAATGGCTTTGAATCTTGACTGTTCTTGAGTGACAACTTATCCCTTGGTAAAATTTTACTGCCACAGAATTAATTCTCGATACAGCAGGATTTGAATATTTCGAACGGTCATTCCCTCTGCACTCCTAGGACATAGGCCTCTATTTAGGATTCTTCTACGCCCACTTCGCCCACTAGATTTGGACGCGTAAATTCTCATAGTCGGGAAAAGGGTACCTCACAATTCGCCAATATGAATGTGTGTTTTCTTCCGGCAAAAAAAAGCGACGACAGACAGAGACAGCTGCTTTCTGTCGAATACAGTGCCACTAAGAAGTGGTGTGTTGTGTTGAAAATTGTGTTAATGTGAACTTTCGTGGTAATAAGACGAAAAATTGACGTATGATGTATCAACCTTTTTTAAATCTATATTTTCTTTGGCTCCCAAATAATGTAACTCATTGAAACCTAACCTCATTACTGTAGGGCAACACTGACATTTAATTTTTGCTTCTGCTTGCACTATTTATTTGTGTACTGATGTCTTCAATATTCTTACAAAGATATTATCTAGTTAAATTGTCCTATTATTTCGCATACTTCTTACCATTGAATTGCTCTTGCAATATGACGGGGCATAACCTAATCTGTCAAACAGTACAACACAACAATGATCACTTAACACTGGAGAACTAGTTGTGCACTAGATCATGAGGTGACATCACGCACTCTTTAATAATGTTTAAAGTAGCTTTTGTGGTTTTGTTTTACTTCATTAGTCCACCTCCTTTCTGGGTCAAAATTAATTGAGTTAGTGCAATGAATGAGTGTTGTTTCTTATGGGTTTGCTCTTGTAGGACTTGACCAATAAACTGGTTTCACCATGGCGGACACAAGGGGGCCAGGACCAATACCTGATCGATGGCTTCTATGTCCTCGCAAAGCTAATGGTATGGTAGCTGGGAAGTTTCTTGCCTTCAAGACGCCTCTGGACAAGCGCTACAATAGTCAGATTCCTGCATTACACTTATTTTACCCTTCTATGATAGTCTCTATCATGGATAGCTATAAGGTAATTGTAATTTTTTTCTTGTATTCGAAGACATTTTTTAAAGTATGAATTATTCTTCTTGCTGCACTTAACAATTTATTTTTTGATCAGGTTAAACTGGGTCTCTGGATTGATCTGACCTTCACCTCAAGATTTTATAACAAAGAAGATGTGGAGGCTTTTGGGGCAAAATATGTCAAACTCCAATGTAGAGGTCATGGTGAAACTCCAAGTCGTGACCAAACCAAAACTTTTATTGATATCTGTGATAAATTCATCCGTACTAATCCATTGGAAAGCATTGGTAGTTAATTTTGAAATAATTTTCTTTGTAGAATTCTACTGTCACATGCATCTTATTTGTCATGCTTTTATTTTCTAGGGGTGCATTGCACCCATGGCTTTAACAGGACAGGCTTCCTAATAATAGCTTACATGGTCGAAAAGATGGACTTCTCTGTTGATGCTGCCTTACATGAATTCAGCACTGCAAGGTAAGTGATGTGTCTGAAACAAGATTAAATGTTGATTGAGTTACATTATGGAGGTTATATTTTTAACATACTTGTTTTACTTACAGACCTCCTGGTATTTACAAGGTAGATTACATTCAGGAACTATATAAGCGTTATGATGATATAAATGACATGCCCTTGCCACCTGAGAGGCCTGATTGGTGTAGAGGTAAGATAAAACCACTCTCTTTCCAAGTTATGCACACTGCAAAATTATATGCCAACTAAAAGACACTGTTTTCTTTCCTAGAATTTGATGATGGGGACGGTAATGATGGTGAACAGGATAATGGGGAAGAGGGTGATAATTCCAATAGCAGGTGAATGATCTTTATTAATATTATGAGAGAATCCTATGTGAGCTGCTTGTCTTACTGTATGTACTGTTGTGCTTGCAGTGGTGGCTCAAGTAACCAGCGTCGTGGAAAATCTAAGAAAACCCCTGTCTTCATGCAAGGAGTTCCTGGTGTCTCTGTTGTTCATGATCCTAAAAAGACTGAAGTGCAAAAAAGGGCACAAGAAATGTGTGGATGGAGAAAGTTAGTGCTATTCTGTGTTATTTCATTCGTAATTCTTCTTGTTTTGACTTAATTAATATCTCTTTTTTCTTTCAATTACAGAAGTGGCTTTCCAGGCTCTCAACCAGTTTCAATGGATATGAAAAATATAAATCTTTTAGCAGAGAAACCTTACAGAGTATCATGGAAAGCAGATGGAACAAGGTATAGATAACACGCTTCTCCTCTTGAATGTTATTTATTCTTTATTAAGTATCCCATAATGTGTTATTTTAATCTTTATCCTCTGTCTTTCCATTTTTGTCAGGTATATGATGCTAATTTTAAGAAAAAATGAGATATTTTTCTTAGACAGGGACAATTCTGTGTTTCAAGTTGAAAACTTGCGCTTTCCTATGAGGAAAGATCCACAACGGCATATAGAGAATACATTACTTGATGGGGTATGTCAACTTTGATAACTTTGGCAATGTTTATTGCAACATGCTTATCTTTGACCAACTTCGGTCATCACTTTTATCAAATTTTCAATTTCCCTTCACTTTTTTTCAGGAAATGGTTATTGACAAAACTGAAAATGGTGAAAGCATTCCTCGATATTTAGTGTATGATATTATTAAGTTCAACAATCAGGAACTAATGAGTCAGCCCTTCTACCCTATCAGATATAATTGCATTCGGGTGAGTTCAAATGAATAGGTGCTGCTCAATAGTTTCAGTGTTTTTTAGTTGTTCAAATTTTTGATATCTTATTGCCCCTTTTTCTTTCCTTAGGAGGAAATTGTTGACACTAGAAATAATGCCATGATGAAAGGCCTTATCAACAAAGCTGTGGAACCTTTTAGTGTTAGACGGAAGGAATTTTGGGATCTGATGACCACAGGCTACTTGCTGAGTGACAAATTTGCAAAGAAACTATCGCATGAGCCAGATGGATTGATATTTCAACCTAGCAGTGATGTAAGCAAATTTATTAAGAAAAGATAGTTTTTCCCTTTGAATTTAGTGCTAAACCTTTTCTTTCCTTTCCTGTCTGAATTTAGCCCTATGTTGCTGGTCAGTGCCCTGAAAGCTTGAAGTGGAAACCATCTAGCCATAATTCTGTAGATTTTAGAGCCAAAATTGTTACTGAAAGTGGTGAAGGGTAAGTCTTTACTTTCGTTCATACTGCCACATTCTTTTACACCTTAAAATTTAATTAAGTAATTTTTATAACAAATTTATTTTCTCAGATTACTGACAAGAAAAATTTTTCACCTTTTTGCTGGTGGTATGGACCATCCTTTTGGTACTATGAAGTACAGTAAAGCATTGAAGGATATGAACAATAAAATAGTAGAATGCAAGTTTAACAACGGCCAGTGGGAGTTCATGAGGGAGCGAACGGACAAGTCATTCCCAAACAGTTACAACACAGCAGTTGGTAATGTCTATGAAATTCAATAATTTGCAACTAATTCTTCCATATTTGTGTTGCTGATTGTTTGGTAAGTGGTTCTTTCTTGTTTTCAGCCGTTTTCAACAGTATCCGTGATCCTGTGACAACAGAATACCTGCTAGAATTCATAGACCGCTGTAGATGGCGAGCTGATGATCAAGATCTAATGCCTCCACCAGCAAAAATTCGACGATGCTGAATGTATTATTATTAAAGATTAGCTGCTCTGAAATGTTGCAATGTAAAGAAACGAAAAATATCAAAAGCTCCTTCCATATACCATTTGTTTTTATTTCCTTCTGATGGAAATACTTGCAACACCACTGCATGTGGCTTCATGCAATATTTTCTCAATCAATTTTGTCATTCTGGGTTGCAGCACCAGTTTATCATGTGTAATGTGTCCTGTTCATTGTTTTACTTCATCAAGCTTTATGTTGTTAATTGTAGATGGAAAACTCAAATTTTTCAGTCTTTCTTAGCAATAAACATTTGTACATAAAAAAAATCATGATCCATTATGTAGGGATAAAAAACAAAATATACTTTGCCTCTGTAGAATGTCAGTTGTTCATTGAATGAATTTGATTTGAAATTTGAAGAAATGAATGTTCAGAGGTCTATTTATGTATGACACTGCCTTAAAATATTCTCAGTTAAGGAAGAAATTCAAATTTAATGTTAATGGGAGAGAGACAATGATTCGCTATTGTACTTAGTTACTGTTATTTATTTAATTTTTATGAAAATCTCTTTTGTATAGGTATGATTGTGTAACAGCTGACGATAAGAAATGTGTTCACGCCAATAAAGCAAAACTTTTACTTTGTGTAACAGTCTTGCAATTTTTTAATTTCACCCGAACTGATGGACATATTTGAAACAACCCTCACAAGCAGAATTGCTGTGATACTCCAAATTGGGCAATTAAAATTGTTTGCTCACGTTGAAGACTTGGGTTCGACTCAAAGATTAATCACATTAACCCAGTATTATGGATAGGATGGCTGGCCTGGCAGGGTCAAGTAAAGGCGTGGGCCGGAGTTAAATATCCCTGGATTCGATTCCCTGAGTTACCTTTCTCATGGCAACTATTTCCTTCTAAACTCTTTATCCCCATTGTTGCACAGCGCCGGGAAGGTAGACCACCCCTTTGGCACGTGACAGGGAAGACGTGCAAAACAAGACATCGGATAATTGTCACGCCTGGGAGTAGAACCCAGGTCCTTTATCAGGGCGGCCGCTACCTTTCTCAGCTCTCAGCAGTCTTTTTTTTACTTATTTGTTTATTGTCAGAAGTAAACCTAAATCTGCAAATTGAAACTGTTTCAACCAAAAAGTTCTCGAGGAAAACCCCCCCCCAACCTTTAGTTAGTTACAATACTGGAATCGAGAGGTGAATTGAGTAAAGGGTTCTGTCTGGTTCAAGTATCTGAGGGTCAAACCATATTTGCAGAATGGGAACGGGGTTTGAAGAAATAATGTCAGGATGTTCTGATTTAATTTCACTTTGCTTTTATTGGAGAAAATGACTCTGTGGAGAAGAGTTATTAGTGATCCACTTACATAAAATATACTTTGTATTGTTTATAATTTTTGCATACATATTTATACATATATATGTGTATAATATATATGTATAGATATATATACCTTTATAAATCTCTATAATAGTACCTAGCTCCCTCAAAGGGGACCATTCCAGTAACAAATCAGTGGCAATCTCTTTCATCCTCATAGTATCATCAAATGATAAACATAATTTTGTTTTCAGTTGAACTGCTTACCACTGGAAAAAAATATACTGTGACTCTCAATACAACCTTGATTAATTCATTCATTTGTAATAAAAAGCAGATTAATACATTGGTTATATTAAGAGCTCTGCTTTCCAACCTATAAGTTCTCTTCATGCTGACAATCATTTGCAACAAAAGCTACATATATATGTTTATATATGTATTTATATATTTTATATATAAAAGATCTAGCCATAAAATAATAACTGTAAATTCCACATAAATAATTTAATACCTCTTCAACCATAATAAAGTAAATAAAGTGATTATGTACAAAATTCATTGACTCGATCAGGTCATGACGGACCAGACAGGCAGCCTGTCACAGGCTCCTTGCTGCGGCCTGTGGCACTGGCTCCAGCCACGCGAGGTAACTCTCTATCTCGATTGTGCAAGCCTGGCATCACAGTGGTTGAGGCGGGCCAGCAAGTACATAATCCAACAATCAATCCATACTAACACACATTCAGTTTTCCAAAATATTTTAAGTATGGAATTATAAACAAACTATATTATGGCAAAAAAGGGTCAGAACAAGAAAGGACATCACAATCCCTGTTTGCTTAATTCTATTCCTTCAGAGCACTATTTGGTGAAACATGGAATGCACCAAGCAATGCAGACATTAACACAACAATCTTTGACTAAGAAAGAAAACTTACATCAAACCCAATGATAACTAAATCACAATTCTTGTAATAAGTTGGTTGATTTGGTTGATTTAGGATAAATAGTTTACAATAGAAGGAAGTTTGATGATGGGCCTGGGAAAACAGCCTAATAAAATTGTGTTTACTTCAATACATGCAAATTTATGCCCAAGCTCACTGAAATAAAGCCAAGCGATGGAACCATTTCAACAACACATCAGTTCTTTGATACGGGCAAGATACAGGGAGAATCGGAAAACATACAAAAGATACTCGCAATGTGATTTACTAATACATTAGGCCCGTTTGATTACTATTAAAATTGTTCATAATAAAATACAATTCTGCCCCACAATTCATGCCCACTGGCGATAACAGTCACAATCAGAATTGATTTGTTACAATACCATGTCTTTACTCCCCCTTTAGCAGAGATGCCAATCTTCTGAGTTTTGGATTAAAATGCATTAGCACCAAAAAGAAACAGGAAAATCTAGTTCTAGCATTAACTTTCCCCAAAAGAATTAGACAACAAAGAAGAAGGCTAGAAACACAGCATCACTTGGTCAATTTACTAACAAAGAGAAGAAATAACATAAATGTACATATGAGGCAAACAAGAGGGTAAGGGACAAGCAGTATTGGTCCACTATTAACAAGAAAATTAAAATATAAGTATACATTAACATACATATATATATATATAGTATACATATACACAACTATATATATACACACATACATATATGTATATATAAAATATCCTACACAGTCCCCACTCTTACAATGCAACAATAACAATCCCTGTGCAGTTAATACTGGGGAAATAAACTTTCTTTAGCAATTTACAACAGCACATTTTGAATAGAAAGAAGCAGTGCAACAGGCAAGCCTGACATGCTTTCTTTTTCCCCATCCTATACATACATACTAGAAAAATTTAAGTAACTCAGAATAGAAAATTTTAATCTGTGTTTCGGTACATAGGTAACTAAAATAGTGCACATGGAATTAATATGTAGGTCACACAAACAATACAATGAGAACAAGAAAATACTCTTTTAAAAATTAAAACAACAACGCACACATAACTGAACAGTTTGAACATCCTGCAAGCACAAGGTGTTAACTTGTAGGTGCATAGCACAAAACTGAAAGGTCAGTGAACAAAATAACGCAACAAAAGAAAATAATGTTAAAAATAACGACAAGACTGAAAAAGGGTAACTGTGGAAGACCTTCATGAAAGTCCTTGTGCATACATTTAAGTTCATGGAATGAATCAAAGTACCATAACCAATTGAGAAAATGCACTAAAAAAATGCACTTTTACTGTTGCCAAAAATGGGCAAGCAAATAAAACTCACTATATCATTCAACAGATAACAACAATAAAAGGAAGCAGACAAACCACTAAATTCTGCATATGTAAACACGAACATTTCATCTTCTATAACAGAAAATTGTGCACAACAAAACATAGCCATGGAATTCATTAATTGATTTTAGCCTGAAGAGACTTTAACATTCATTGACACAATTTTTAATCAGTAGTAATTGGAAATAGTTTATCACCTACCAACAGGAATTTTTTTTACGTTTCATACATAACATCTACTATTAGAATCTTTGATAGAACCTTTGTAAGACAAGAATAATAATATCAAATGTCACAAATACCTAGAAGAATTCGGGAAGAGTATACTCATAAAATAATTTTAAAACAAGAAAAAGAAAACAATACAAGTTTAATTGACAGCCTATTTGGCTTAAAACATTTTATATTATACTTCCTTTCATGGTCAAAACTATCATGCGTTCCTATACCAAAAGTATAGTGTTGGAAAGCAGCTCCAGCACATTTTTATAAACAATAATAAAAAATAAAGACACATAGTGAACCGTTTTATAAAAGACAAAAACACTTATCACTTCTTACAATTCATTTGTAACAAGTAAGATATAGTGGAGTAAGAGGGGGATGTACATGCAGAGATCACAGAGAGCTCATGCAAAAAGAGAGAAATAGAGATAGAGAGAGAAAGAGTGGGGAGACTTAAGCTCCCAGGGTACTTCAGTCTTCTGAGTTGTTTCGGTTTGATTTACCGTAACAGCTCACAGCTACAAAGAACTGTATCACTTCCGAAATGAGAAAATGTCCCACAATTCTGAACATACCAGATACCCCCTCATAATAAAATATGCACACATCTTAAACAATAAATAATATTATTAATTATAAGGGTTGATTGAGGTGAAGGCTAATTGGAAGAGGAAATAATAAGAAATGGAAGAGGTAGGACGGTACACGGAAAAATGGTAGACAGGTGGAAAAGAAAGGATAAAAGGCCGGCTGCCGAAAAGGACCAGATTCTTGGGCCACGCACACTCATCCCAGAACATTATGTAGAATCACAGCAAGGATAACGGCAAACATGCCGAACATGCCGAGGATTATTGCAGCTTTTTGTTTGTCTGTCATAGGTGCAGGTTGAACAGCCTGGAAATGAATTATAAAAATTTAGATCACATTGGAATGAGCGACAATAACTCATTAATAATGCCATTATTTTCTTACCTGTTGAGGAACAACACGAGCTACAGGTTCAGGCACAGACACAGCTGGTATTGAAAATGTAGATGCAGGAGAAAAGGCACCACTAAGGTCTCCATTCGAAGTGCAACGAACAGGCATGACCCTAATTTCATACTCTGCACCAGCTTCTAGGTCTTCCAGGGTTGCTTTGGTATCAGTTCCTCTGTACACCTGGTTAATAAAATTTGTGTGTCACTTTTTGTGATACCACTACTGTGAGTAGGGCTGTTCTATTTACACAAACTTACCACTTTATATGCTTGGTCACGAAGACGGCACAGTTGAAGTTGATACTCAACAGGATCACTAGGAAGAGGACGACAGGGAAGCCATTCAACAACACAACTTCTTTCCAGAATTTCAGTGGCTTTAGGAGCTGCAAGAACACATCATTTATCACATGAAAATCAACTGCAATAAGGAAAAAACTTTGTTACTTACAACCATTGTTATAACATACCTTTAATAGATGCTGGGGGTGCTATGCATGTTGAAAATTCATAAATTTCAGAGAATTCTCCTTGACCAGCATCATTTGAGGCTGCAATACGGAACCTGTAGAGGGTCAATTCTTGCAGGCGATTGACCTTGTAGGTGTGATTTGTGCCTTGATACACAGTTTGAAACCTGCAAGAAAGCAAATAAAATGTGAGCCTGAGGACATCTGTCTGCCAGTGAATATCCCAAGAACTACTTACTGTTCAATTGTGTTTCGAGGATTTTCCATTTCCAAAATGTACTGAGTAAAATCAGGGTTCCGGCCATCACCCCACTTTAGTTTTAAATTATTGTGGCCAACTGTGACACATTCTACAGCAGGTGCAGAAGGTGGAAGAGGTTTGGTTGTACATTTGTGAGACTGTGAATAAGGTCCTACACCCACAGAATTCACAGCCCTGACTCGTATCCTTCAAAGCCAGAGAAGATCATTAGAAATCTTTTAAGTAAGTAAAAGACAAACCACAAATAGGTGTTTGATTCATCAAACATATCATACCTATACTGAGATTGAGGCTTTAATTGATCAATCACTATTTGAGTTTCAGGTCCTTCTGTGCTCACATTTCTATCAGGCAGATCAATCTGATAGCTCAAAATGGGTGAACCATTACAATTGGGTGCTGACCATGTCAGTGATATTGAGTAAGGAGTCGATACACCACGAATTGAGGTTGGTGCTGCAGGGGGACCAGGTGGAGTAGTCAGCACACTGTCCAAGGACCAACCACTTGATCCAGCAGCGTTTGTCGCCTGTGAGCAAAACAAACCAATATCAATAAACAACCACAACAGAAGTTCAATCCCTTAAACCCTAGCAATAATGTACTCATTCAACTTTACCTGAACACGGAAGTGGTAAGTAGTAGCAGGAAGGAGGTTCTTGATTTCGGTGCTAGTTCCTGTCCCTACAAATGCATTTCTCCGTTCAATGAGAGAGACTGTGTCCAGAATCTCAACAGTGTCAAGAGGGGCTTGCATGGAGGGCCTAGGGGGTCGGACAGGACTGGCAGGGATATTTGGTGTTGTTGTGCTATTGGAACTGACAGAGCTGGCTGGACTGACTGGCCTCGTGGATGGACTGGTAGAACGAGCAGGGCTTGGGCTAGTGGGTCGCAAGCTCCCAACTTGCAATGTGTACTCCGTGACTGGAGACCCATTATTCGCAGGCTCAACCCAGGACACCATCACTGCAATACTTGATGTAGCAGTAGAACGAGGTGAGACTTGGGTCTGAGGAGGTAGAGGTATTTCAGGAGCTGCAGCTCCACTCTGGATCTTCAGCACTTCAGACCAGGGGCCAGGCTGAAAGCAAAATAATTCAGGATTGAAAAGAGAGGAATTTAAGATAATTTCTTTTCTGTTCTCTTGTTAAGAACAGCACACAACAGACAAATGCCTCTTTAACCTGTCTAAAGCTAATGAAATGTATTTATTTAAAAAAATAATCACGCTTTACACTTACCCCAACTTTGTTGCAAGCACGCACAAGGAAGATGTAGTTTCTCCCTGGCAGAAGATCTTGTACAGTACACTCAGTTTCACGACCAAAATAGGCTTGGCGTCTTTCTTTTTCTTTCTCTGCCATCGCCATCTCAACTTCATACTGACTTACTGGAGCACCACCATCATTTAGAGGATTGCCTGTTTATTACAATAGTTCAGAATTAGCAGAATTACTTTCATCCGTTAATAGTTACTCCCAAAGAACCATCTCCATAAAAAAGGACCAAACTTGAAATGAAATGAGGAATTCAATTTGGTACTTACTCCACTTCAAACATAAGGAGGTTGCTCGAGGCTTTCCATGAGACCGGAAATTTTGGCATTGTCCAGGGCAAACTGGCTCTGTAACGATGGAAGACACCTCCGAAAAGTCGCTTCTACCGCCTGCAGTGGTACAGCAAACCCTAACCAGGTATTGCGTTCCAGGTATTAGGCGGTCACACACATGCTCTGTGTGAGGCCCATGGTAAATCTGATGAAAGTTTCCTGAAACACACAAATTCAGAAGGTAAAGAAAGGCACACAATTTGCATGTGAAAAAGACAAACTACAAAGCAGCATACCTTTATCCGAACCAAGCTCCAGGGTGTAACTAGAGACATCAGTGCCACCCCTGTCATGAGGAGGGTCCCATTTTACTTTAAAGGAAGAGGAATGAATTTTTCCTTTGACAACAGGCCTGGATGGAGGGCTAGGACGGTCTGGAAGAGTACGGTAACATACTTCCTCCGACCAACGAGATGAACCATCTTCATTACTTGCCTTCAACTGTGTGGTAAAAAAAATTACAAATTAGCCTCAAATTACAGATTAATAAGTTAGCAAATAAAATAAAAGAAAAAAGTTTAAAGTAGATAAATTACAAGTTAAGGAGACCTACCCTAAATCTGTATTCCGAGTGCCTACGGAGGTTATCACAATAGTGATGGGTATCTCGTCCATTGTACACAGCTAGGTAACCATAGTTTGAATGACGGTCATCCATTTGCAGGACAAATTCTTCATCACCTGGCCTGCGTACCCATGCTAAGTGTAAACAATTGACTGTTGCATTCCTTAGGATTGGAGGAGCAGGAGCATTTGGAACATTTCCTGCTGTTGTGTATGTTATTATATCAGAATAATTGCTGAAACACAAGACAAAATATTTGATAAAGAATCCCTTGTGAGTAGAAGCATTGGGTCCGCAGATAATTTAATAAGAAAACTAACCTCCTTCCACATTCATTTACAGCTGCCAGTCGGAATCTATATGAAGTACCCGGCTGGAGCCTTGATAGATTATGTTGCTTTAATCTAGTCCGGAAAGCTTCACTAAAGACGCCTGTACCATTATCACATTCAAGGATATACTGTTGGATATGAGCACCATTGTCAACAGCAGCCTGCCAGCGAAGTTGCAGGCTCAATCGGTTTTTCTGAATAAGCCTCGGTGGAAGAGGTGCTTCTGGACGGCAAGGAGGGGTCAAAAATGTAGTTGGCTCTGATGCTTGTCCCTTCCAGTCATCTAAATGCACGAGAAGGCACACAGAGTATTCTTTGCCCGGCTGAAGATCTTGAATCCTGCAAAGAAGAAAATGGCAAGAGTAACATTAAGAAATTGCCAATACAAGAATTAAGAAAGAGAAGGCTTAACAACTCACCTGCAGGAGTGAGATAGTCCACTATAAATAGATTTATAACGACCGTCTTTTCCTTTATCACTAAGTAGTACTTCGTATCTCAAGTCTGTCTCAGATATTTCATCACTGGGGAAATCTGCCAGTGTTTCTGGTGATGACCACTGAAGCAATGCACTTGTTGAGTCTAGGTCTGCAACCTGGAAGAAAGACAAGGTAGCGTCAGAGAGAGGTTCCCTTTTGTGTTACTGGATGTCCAACAAAACTTCTCATCACATTTGTACCTGAGGTGGTGCTACAGATGACAGCATTTCGGTGATCATTTCAACTTCATCTTCATCATCTTGCAGACTTGAGCTCTCCTCTCCATCTTCGGATGTTCCTACACTGCTCATACCACGTTCTTTTCCAGAGATCACTCTAGAACGGAGTCCATTGGCAAGTTCTAGAAACAAATAAATTATGCAGGTTGATAAAAGTAAATACCATGAACTATATGTGAATTTTCTAAATACAATGTAACATTTTAAAACAAATTAAGATTACTATTTACAAGGTTTTCACCCTCGGTTTCCACATGCATTCAAAAAAAGGAAAAACAGACAGAATCTACAGGTAACAACGCATTCACAAAACATTCAGCTCAAGGTCTTGCAAGGGGAAAGAGCTATCCATTCATCTCCTAAATTTTTTCCCTGGCTTACCTTTTCTGGGAGAGGCAGGGGGTGTACCATGGCCAGAGCCACCTCCTAAAACTCCAGCTTGCGCCATGGATTCTCCCTTTAGAGACTGCTTTTGGTCCAACTTGCGTTTAAGCCTGATGTGCTGGCGTTGAGTTCTCTCGTCCTTATGGAAGCTCAAGCCTGCCCAGAAACCATAAGTAAGCATAAAACTGATGCACTGAAACCGCTTCTAGCATCTGGTCCAGTATACAGGCAAATGTACAGATAGAGATTAAAATCACAATGCCATATTTAAGTCTCATTGTATGCACTTAATTATTAGGCAAACCACATTACTGCTTATTGCAAGCTGGGTTAGAATAGTAAAGTCTATGAGGAGGCTATATTAGCATATGTTAGCCCATCAACAATTCTCCACCACTGCCAACATAACCATCTGAACCGATCGGCAGTGATGCCGAATATCAGAGAGAACATGTCAAACAGGGACATGGCGGTGTCATTCCCTCCCGCACAAAAGTTGTTTTTGTTATTTTTTAATCAACATTTAGAATGGTCCCACTATGTGAGAGAGCAACCAACACCAGGAAGCGTTGCTGTTGTGGTTGTGATACGCACCAGATTGGTTCGGCGGGGGGCCGTGGCCGAGGACCCCGGCGACGCCCTGCTGGAGAGGCGGCGTCACCGGCCCGAAGTGCTGAGGTGGCGGGTACCCCGGAGCCAGCCAGTGCTGCTGCTGCGCATTGGAACCGGGACCGGGACCCTGGAAACCAAAGCAGCGTTAGTAAACAGAAACGAGCAAGAAACCAGAAGACAGGCTGGGTACTAGGCACTGGGGGCAAGGGCAGCGGGCTGCACACATTCACACTGAACTGTAACCTTGATTTCAGGAAAACTTTCAAACCCGGGACAGCCGCAGCCGCGGTGTTGAGGTTCAGACGGCCCGAACAAGACGAGGGACTTCCTCCACACGGCTGGGTTCAAGACCAGAAGCCTCAAGTGGCAGCTACCTCGCGACATGGCTCCCACACTGCAAACCTAATCGCGCAAACCGATTCGGAAATCCACCCCAGAGGCCCACCCTAACGGCCTAACGCTATCTCTGCTCATACCGCAAAAATTTTGATGACGACTGTCTCCTCGCCGTCCATGTCAAAGTCGGCAGAAGCCAAGTCGGCCGAAGCCACGTCCGCGGGGCCCTGGCCCTGGCCGGACTGGGGCTCGCGCTCCGCCCCCTCGGCGACACGCGACCCATCGCCGGGCATGTCGTCGACCGCCGATTGCGCTCGGCTGGGGTGGCCGTCGGCGGCCTCCTCTAGGTCGGCGACGGCGAGGTGCTCCGGGTGTCCGTTGGGGTGGCCGTCGGCGGCCTCCTCCAGGTCGGCGACGGCGAGGTGCTCCGGGTGTCCGTTGGGGTGGCCGTCGGCGGCCTCCTCCAGGTTGGCGACGGCGAGGTGCTCCGGGTGCCCGTTGGGGTGGCCGTCGGCGGCCTCCTCTAAATCAGCGACGGCAATGTCCTGTAGGTACCCGTTCGCGTACCCGTTCGCCTGCGCTCGCTCGCTTGCGGATGGATTCAACGAAGAAAGTAGCGGGGCAGCTGCCGCGAAGTGCAAAGGTTCTTGGACAACAGGTGCTTCGTTCAATGACTTTTCCTGACGCGCCCCATTCAACAGAATTCCATGCACAGAAACCGCTTTCTTTGTTAGCGACTCTTGCTTCTCCTGCACGTCAGCTTCCTCATTCAACGACTCTTCCTGCACGTCAGCTTCCTCATTCAACGACTCTTCCTGCACGTCAGCTTCCTCATTCAACGACTCTTCCTGCACGACAGCTTTCTCATTCAACGACTCTTCCTGCACGACGGCTTGTTCACTCAACGGCACTGCCTTGGCATCCTCCGCTTTCACGGGCTCTGCTTGCACCGCTCCTGTCAGAGGCTCTCCCCGCACGATGACAGCTTTCTGAATCAAGGGCTCTTCCCGCACAACAGCCGCCTCACCAAACAAGGGCTCCTCCTGCACCAAGACTGCACGGCAACTCAGCGGCGCGTGCTCTTGCTGGTAATGCAGGTCTTCCAGGCCTTTCAGGACGTGCAGGTCTTGCTGCTCCTGCTGAGCGCCAGGGCCGCTGCTGGCCGCAGGTTGTTTGACAGGCTGCTTATCAGTGGCCGGAGGGTCTGGGCGTTGACGTGGACGTGGGTCTTTCGGCGCTGGCGGCGCTGGCGGGGCCACGTCGCGAACTTGCCTCTGCTCGCCGTCCGACTGGCGGGTCCGGGAGGACGGCGACGACGGCGGCGGCCCGGTCCGTATTCCCCGGTCCGCCACCTCAGCAGCTGCGGCCGTGACGTCGCGGGGCTCGGGGGGCCCCACCGTCACCGCGGGGGCGTCGGCGCCGCGCTGCCGCGGCGACTGGCGCGGGTACGGCCAGGCGCGCCGCTTCTTCTTGACGGGGTGCTTCTCGTCGGCCGGGAGCGCGACCGCCTCGCCGTACGCGAGATCGCGGCGCCCTCTGCTGACGGGGTCCCCCGGGCGGCCGAATTGGCCGTCCGGGTACGAGCAGCACTGCCCCGTGGTGGCGTTGACACGCCCACGCCCTCACACACACACTCACGCGCGCGCACGTACACACACACGCGTGGCAGTGACGTGGGCAAGTCGGCCGCTGCTCGCGGTATCAGAGCATTACGTGCGGTACCGCGGTACCGGTACCGGCAGCCTGCCCCTGGCTTGCCCTGGCTTGCCCGGCGGAGAGCACTTGCACCTGTCGCGTGTGTGGCACTGTAAACCGTGCGGCACTGTGTGCTGTCGCGAGGCGAGGCGAGGTGCCCGCCGGCTACTGGCTGACGTGCTCTGACGTTGCCGCGTGGAGCGCAGCGCAGCGCGCGCAGCCAGCCGAGCGGTGCAGAAGCGCGCCGCGTCGCTCTGTCTCTCTCGCGCCCTAACGGAGAGCCCCGCGAGTGCGACAGAGACAGAGCGAACCAACGACTCCTCCGAATCGCTCGGCGGGGCCTAACAGGGCGATCCGCTTGGCAGTGCCTCGCCGCTTCGCGGTTCGGAGGCCGTGCCGCTGCAGGCCCATTCCGTGGAATCGTCTCTCTGTCTCTGTCGCACTCACGGGGGGGCCGGCAGGGTGCGAGCGAGACAGAGCGACGGAGTGACTCTTCGGAATCATCGCTACTGCAGCTGCAGCCACGCCGCCCAACCGCAACCACCGCAGCAGCAGCAGCCACCCAAGAGCGCGGCTGAGCCACAAATCTAGAGGCACCGCGCGGGCCGCGCGCACAGCCACGAAAACAGTGCAAATCCATATCGCCTGGCGTCACGTACTCGCGGCACACGTGGCGAGGCGGGGCGGGGCGGGGCGGGGCGGGGCGGGGCGGGGCGGCCCAGAGAGATAGCGACAGCCACGCCAGGACAGTCGGCCGCCAGGCAGGCAATGGGGATAAAACCCTCCGAAGAAACATGTCTACTTCATTGAGAGAAAGCATCGAACACACAAGTCGACGCGGCAGATTTAGCCCTGGACGCGTACGCCACCTCGAAATCAAGCCCTTTCCTACACCAGTCAACGCCCCCAAACCTGCACACTACTAACACGCACGATTACAGCACACACACACAGTGCTCGCGATACCAACAGGAGCGTCGTGTTGCCTACGCTTCAGGCGCACGCTGAGTGAAGCACTCGGGGGCACTGCACTGCAAACTGCGAGGCAGGGGAGTCGGTTGGGTTGCCTACCCGCGCGGGGCAGCCACTCACAGACACAGCGCTGGCGGGAAAGCTGCGCCCGTCCACCACACCGCTCCGTCTCTCTCGCGCCCCGACGGGACGCCCCAGAGAGACAGAGCGACGACGGAACCACTGTCCGGAACAGCCTGCACAGGGGCCGTCGCCCCTTTCGGCATCTGGCGCCGCAGCGGGGCGGCGGGGGCTCCATCCTACAGACTGACTCCGAGAGTCGTTCTCGCCGCTCTGTCTCTCTCGCACTCAGGGGGCGTCCCGTGTGAGAGACAGCGCGACGAAAACGACTCTCGGAGCCACTCCACTGTACTCCAGTGGGGGTCGCGCACTTACACGGAAAGCCAATCGCGCCTTGATCCTGCCGAACGCGGCCGATTCCGAGCCTCGCTTTCGTCGCTCTGTCTCTCTCGCAGTCCAGGGGGCGATCCGGCCGTCGGGGTGTGCGAGTGGGGCAGACAGAGCGACGATACACTGTACGGGATCGCCCTGCTCCGCTGCGTTGCACAGCAGCACTCGCTTCCAAGCGCGTGTCTTGCAATGCAAACTCCCTGAGAGTTCGAACGCCAACCAGCAGACTGATGCCTAAGAGTCGTCGTTTCGTCGCTCGGTCTCTCTCGCACTCACGGGGCGTGCCGTGCGACCGTAGGGGTGGGAGAGAGAGGTCGAAACGTCTTGTCGGAATCGCTCGCCTGGCCGAGAGCTGGGTCACACAGTGGGCCAGAAGACCGGTGGAGGCGGCCAAAACTCCAGAAGCTTTTTGAGCTCCAGAGTCGCTGAATGGGACTCGGACCGAACGTTTGACCCCACCAATGGATTGCTCTCCGAACGAGGAATCAATTGGTGGGTCACACGTTCGGTTCGAGTCCTGTTTAGCGACTCTGGAGCTCAAAACGCGTCTCGAGTTTTGGCCGCCTTCACCGGTCTTCTGGCCCATTGTGGGTCGCCGGAGAGGTCTAGGAAGGTACCGCCGACGGCCTGCCCGGCCTGCCTGGGGCCCGTGCGGGGGGCGGGGCGCGGCGGGGCGCGAGGCCCCGAAGGGGGCGCGTGCATGGCTTCCCTCCCTCCGGCTTCACCCCCAGGGTTCACACACTCGCACCAAGACTCGTGTTTTTTTTCCGCCCTGCGGTGGGTCAAGCGGCAGCAGGGCGGCCAGGTCAGGGCAAGGGCCGTGGCCGTGGGGCCCACCAGGAATCAAGGAAGGGCCCAGCGGGGCGGGGCAGGGCGGGGCGCGCGGAATTCCTCCGCATTCATGCGATTGTTGGCAGCGCTTCGTGCCGGCGTGCCGCGGCGCGCGGCGTGCCGGCCCAGGCGGGCAAGGCGGGCCACCCGGCGGGGAAAGGGGCACGGGGGACGGCGGCGCGGCGGGCGGCGCGGTGCGGGTCCGGGCCCCGGGCCGTCCGGGCCACGAGCTAACAGTACCGCGACCTCGCTACGGCCACGCCGCCATGCCGCGGCCGCTCCCCCCACACTCCACTCCGGGCCGAGCCCAGAGCCCGGAGCGCCGCGCTGCCCCCCCCCCCCCCCCCCGGGCCGCACAACGAAGCAGCCAGCAAGGAGTACGCAAGGTGAGGCAGGCGCAGGCCGCGCTGGCAGGAATGCCAGCGGCAGCCGTACCGCCGGGCCCTGAACAATGCCTGCAACCTGCAAACGCCCCGGCCCGCAACGCAGCCGCGCTACCGGGTTGCACACCACCACGGCGCTAGAAGGGCCAGCCAGGCACGCAGTGCATAGCAGACTAGTTCCGAGGAGTCGCTCTGTCTCTCTCGCACTCGTGCGACGTGCCGCGCGGGCGCGAGAGAGACAGCGACGAGAAGACTCTCCGGAATGGCTGGGCAGGGCATCGCGCTGCCGCGGTGCGCCGCCATTGCAGGGAAGTGCAGCAGGGAAGGCGGCGGCCTGGCGGCCCTGCATGTAGGGCACGGCCCGGCACGGCCCGGCTCGGCCGGCCGGAGCCTCAAGGACGGGCCGGCGGGCCGCTGGAACAGGCCAGCCCGTCTGGAAACAGGTCCCTTCCTGGCCGAGGCGAAGCAGTGCCTTATCTTGCCCAGTCAATGACGGCGCCAGGTTCATTCCGTCGCTCTGTCTCTCTCGCGCTCACGCGGCGCTCCGCAGGGGTGCGAGGGAGACAGAGCGACGAAGCGCCGCACAGTGGGCCAGAAGACCGGCGGAGGCGGCTAAAACTCTAGACGCGTTTTGAGCTCCAGAGTCGCTAAACAGGCCTCGAACCGAGCGTGTGACCCCACCAATGGATTCCTCGTTCGGAGAGCATTCCATTGGTGGGGTCACACGTTCGGTTCGAGGCCCATTTAGCGACTCTGGAGCTCAAAACGCGTCTAGGGTTTTGGCCGCCTCCACCGGTCTTCTGGCCCACTGTGCGCCGCCGTTCGGAGTCCGACTGCAGGCATCGCGCAGGCAGCCTCGGTGGACGGGCCGAGGAGCCCGGGCGCCGCGTCGACAAGCCCCTGCAGGCTGCCTGCAGCATTCCAGGCTGCTCCAGGCGGGCCGCCAGGCAGCCAGCCAGCCAGCCCGCTCGTTGCCATGGCGACCAGAGAGGTGTGGCCCACTCTCACGCACTGCTTTCCAGAGAGCTCGCGGCCGCTCGCGGCGCAGTTCGAATCGAACGCCACTTGGTCTTTGTTTTTGTCCGTCCGTCCGGGCCTGGCTCGGCGCTCAGCCTGGCGGGGCCGCGGGCCGCGCGGAGCCCCAGCGAGCCCCTCTGGTTGCCATGGCGACCGCACAAAGAGCCGCGAATCGCTTCGTTTCGTTTCCTTCCACCAGCTTCCACCAGAGCGCGCCGCGACACGAGCCGCGACACGCGAAGCACGCCAAGCCGAGCGCTTCCGGCAGTAAAGTCGAAGTCGGCCGGCCGCACACAGATCGCAGAATCGCACTTCAACTCCGGAAGCGGATGCCGCATGGGCCTGGCCTGGTCAAGCTCGGCGCCGAAGGGTGAGATCCACGAGGAACGCGCATCCCCTCGCCCTCGCCGCCGAGCGAAGGCGACTCACAGTGGGCCAGAAGACCGGTAGGGGCGGTCGAAACCCAGCCCTTGCAAAGTCATCCAGACTGCGGACATGTGGGCCTGGAGCGCCTGCGAGGTAGGCCACGGGTCCGCCCAGTGACACACCGGTGTGGAGACGGTGGCCTACCTCGCCCCCGTCGTCCTCACAGGGGTAAGATAGGCCACCGTCTCCACAACGGTGTGTTGCGGGACGGATCCGCGGCCTACCTCGCAGGCGCTACTGGTCCCGACCACATCAGCAAACGCACATCAGCAGCACAGCACTCCTGCGCACCCACACGCAACGTCATGGCCACAATCTTTCTGAGAGGAAGACGGATCGGAGATTTCTTCGGAATTTAGCGCCAAGTTCGACTAGCGTTTTTAGCCCGTTAGGGAAGGGGTTTTTGGGCGCTCACGTGGACACAGGATCTCGCCAGTGGTAGCTCCCCCTACTTGCGACGCTCAGTGGGACAGAGGACCGGTGGAGGTGGTCAAAATCCCGGACGCGTTTTGAGCTCCAGAGCCGCTAAACAGAACTCAAACCTAACGTGTGACGCCACCAATGGATTCCTCGTTCGGAGAGCAATCCATTGGTGGGGTCATATGATCGGTTGAGTCCCATTTAGCGACTCTGGAGCTCAAAACGCGTTTCGGTCGTCGGCGTCGGTCTTCTGGCCCACTGTGCGGGGTGGCGCTGGGACATGCACTCGATACTTACGTAGTGTAGGTGCGTCTGGTTGAGGACGTGGTGCTGGTGGGGGGACAGGATGACGTGCCGCACCGTGCCGCTCTCGTCCACCACCTGCTGCAGCACGTGCGGCGGCACCCCGACGGGCCCCACGGGGCCCATGCCCGGCCCCACGGGCAGCAGGGGCGGCGAGGAGCTGGCGCCATGGCCATGGCCGCCGTGGGCCACCATGGGCACAGTCACCGGGCCTGGAACAGAAAACGGCAAACTTCAGTCAGACGTGTTTGGAAGAAAATACGCGAAGAAAACGCCCAAAAGAAAGGCAGCTCACACCCGGTATTCGAACCCGAGGAGGACGAGATGGCGGAGGATCAGGGACCTTCACGCCGCGCGGCGACAATTACGGCGCTACGGTGGCCGCTGCGCCGCTGACTCTGTCCACGTGTCGCACGGAGTGGCGCGGAGTGGCACGGAGCGCGTCAAACAGCGCGCGTGGCAGAGCGTGGCCGGCCGGGCCGGGCCGGGGTGGGCGGAGCGTGGCACACGCGACACGGCAGGAAGCGGCCGACACAGCACGCTGCTCGTCAACGAGTACGTGGACGAAACGTGGACGAGTACGTGGACCACTTGGCGGCCAAAACGCGCCGCCACAGCCACCAGGCTTGCCTGGCACGGCGTTGGCACGGCGGCTAGGCCTAAGCCTAGGCCGGCTCCTCGTCCACGCAGTCAGAATAAAGCCCGTGCCAACTTGGCGCGCGGGTCGCTGACCCCGCCCCGGCGTGGCGCGGCGGTCCGGCCGTGCCGGCCTGTGCCCCACCCGCCCGCCTTTGGCCTGCCTGCCCCCGTTGGACCCTGCCCGTGTAGCCGGCGTGGCCTTGACACCACGCCCACTCCGCGGCCCGCGGCCGTCCTCTCCGTCGTCGCGGTCCTCTGTCGTCGTCGCGGTCCTCCGTCGTCGCGGTCCTCCGTCGTCATCGCGGGCCCGATTGCGGGCCTATCCGTCCTCATCGCGGTCCTCTCCGTCCTCATCGTGGTCCTCTCCGTCCTCATCGCGGTTCTCCGTCCTCATCGCGGTCCTATCCGTCGTCGTCGCGGCCCTCCGCCGCCGCCATCGCGGTCCTCGCTCTCGTCATCTCCCCTCATCACGGCCGTCGATCGCGAAACAAAGCCCGAATCCAGTGCGGCGCACAGCGCCAGTCTCCGGTTCGAATCCCGGCCGCGGCCGTGCCATTTCGACCATTTTCCCTCCGGGCGCGCGTCCCTGCACCCATTGTGAGAGTGGCTCGCGCCAACGGGCGGCGCAGCGGCGCAGGGCAGCCAGTGTTGTGCACAGCACAGTGCAGGGACTCCGGCTCGGCCTCCGGTGACCTTCAGAGTTCATCCACTGGATCCGATGAATAATCAAGAGTCGTGAAAAAGGGCTGGGGTGGGGGGCACCGGCACCGCGGCTACTGGCCCCATTGTTGGCGGCGTAGCAGACAGACAGACAGACAGACAGACAGACAGACAGACAGACGGCTTTGTGCCGGCCTTGGTAGCCACAACAAAGGCACGCGCGCCACCCACGCAGAGCACCCGCTAGTGTCCCGGGTTCGAATCCCGGCCGATTTCCCCCATTTTCGAGACTTGCCCTCGCACGGTTTGACGGGCTCCCCGCCAGCATCACCACTCAAGTCGGCGGAGTGGAGCCTTGCGCCGCAGCCCGCGGTATTCCAAACAAGTCTCAAAGGGATTGGGGGGGGGGGGCGTCGGGGACGGGAGGGGGCGTCCAAAGCTAATAAAAGGCAAAAGAGTTGGTTCGACTGTGCGCGGCGCGGGGCGGCGCGGCGCCGCTCTCGGCCCGCCCGAGTGAAGCCACGTGCTGGGCGAGTCCAAGACTTGCCTTACAGTGGAAGAAAGGGCCGCGAGGAGAAGAAGAAGGAGGAGGAGGAGAGTACCGCCAGTGAAAATGAAGCGCTAATTGGAACGTATTAGTTGACGGACCGCGACACGCCGAGGACTGTCGCTCTCTCTCTCTCTCTCTCTCTCTCTCTCTCTCTCTCTCTCTCTCTCTCTCTCTCTCTCTCTCTCTCTCTCTCGCACCCCCACGGCCCTACGGGACGCCCCGCGAGTGCGAGAGAGGCAGGGCGAGGGAGGGGGCCGGCATGTTCCGCAGCCCAATCAGGGGACGGGACACGATAAGCTCGCACTTGGATGCGGGCTCCGGGCCTGCACTGCAGGGCCGGCAGGGCGGCAGCCTGGACCGGGAGAGAGAGGTGGGCACGCCTGCACGGCCTGCGGGGACGCGGCGGAAAAGTACGAAAGGACGCAGCACTGGTAAAACGAAAGCGAAGTTATTCGCTCCACTCAAGCGTGCGCAACTACGCTGGAAAATTTTACGCCCTTAAATCCCCACAAGCAGTTGTCGGAGGGGAGGAGCGCATTAAGCTCTTGTACGCTAGAAGAAGGGCGTATGGACTACTGTGCCAAGGGGAAATCACGGTGAATTTCGGCGTACTAATCCAATGAATTTCAGTCGAATTTTGATAAATTTCAGGCAAACACTGAATTTTGAGAAGAATTTCGAAGCATTTTAATGCATGATTAATGCATTTTGGTGTACAAATACGGCTGGAGTTATTCCCCTGGGACTGTACGCTGCACGAAAGGCGCCATGTTACACCTCAGTTTTAACAGTGTGGCAGCAGCGAGCTGACAGCAGTGCTCCACGTGATGGCATTCTTTCCTCCTGCTGGTGTCAAAAGTCTCCCATTTTCGGACGTTTCGGGCGGAGATTGGCCGTCGCCCTGGCCAACACGTACTCCACGTTTCGGGACGAACGTGCCATCTGTTTGCGGGCGAACGTGACCGGACCGTGTCGCGAAAAACGAAATAAGGCATAAGAAAACGCGAGCGAGGGGGGGGGGGAGTCGGGCCTCCTGCCGGGATTCGAACCCGCGCCTCCCGGGCGACGTCGCGACACGCGAAAACAGCGTGGCTGCGTGGCTCTGGGGCAGACCTTTGGATGGGTTTCGGCCTCTCGGCTCGGATCGTGGCGGCGATACAGGCCGTCCTTCTCTCTCGCACTCACGGGCCGTCGCGGAGGGGTGCGAGAGAGACAGGGCGACCCAGCGGCCCCTCTTCGGAATCGCCCCGTCTGGGCCCGCATCAATGAAAAGCAAACAGAGATAAAGCCAACATTTTGTTCCCAAAATTAATGCGGACAACGGCGGCCGCGCTCGTGTCAGTGTCTGTCTGTCTGTCTGTCTGTCTGTCTGTCGGACGGAAGGCGGGTCAATTCAGAACCATTCGATTCATCGCGTTCGGACAAAGAAAGGCAACTCGCCAAGAAAAGCAGACCTCGGGAAAACTCCTTTCCATCAGCGACCGTTCAGTTCGAGAGCACAAGTAAAAAGAAAAAAAAAGAAAACTTAAAAAATAAAAACTTGCAGCCGTGCGCACGCACTTCACCCGAGGCAGAGCAATGACCGAGGTGCATTCCCATTGATAAAAAAGACCGGCAGCAACAACAGCCGATAGGGCACCTTTCGGTAAACTGGGTCAAACGGTCAAGCGTTACGTAACGCCGCCGTCGGCGATAGCGCGGCTATCGGGGACCGGACGTGAAGAAACCAGGCGCCGCCCTTCGCCGAAGTGGAGGCAGTGCCGCCAAAAAGCGAGAAAGGGCGGGAAAAAGCATAAACGAAAACAACAACAACCCGCCAGTGGGCCAGGAGACCGGGGCGCCGGCGGACAAAACTAGACGCGTTTCGAGCTCCAGAGTCGCTAAATTGGACTCGAACCGAACGTGTGACCCCACCAATGGATTGCTCTCCGAACGAGGAATCCATTGGTGGGGTCACACGTTCGGTTCGAGTCCTGTTGAGCGCGACTCTGGAGCTCAAAACGCGTCTGGAGTTTTTTGGCCGCCCCCGCCGGTCCTCTGGCAAATCCACTGTCGTGCGCCGGTTTTCCATGTCGTTGCGGGGGATCCCAGCGACGGATTGAAAAGGCCAGGAACAAAAGGCTTGAAAATACAAGCGACTCGACACGGCGCGGCAAGGCGCGGCAAGGCACGGCACAGATTAGGCGCATTGTGCTCGATCCGGCGGTACTCAATAACCTCTGATTGGCCTGAATACGAAATGAGCGGCGTCACGCCCGCGACGCGCCCCGCTTTCCGTCTCTGTCGCACCCACGGGGGCGTCCCGTAGGGCCCGTGGGGGTGCGAGAGAGACAGAGCGACGGAATGAACTCTCCGGAATCGGTTAGGGCAGCCCTGGCTCGCGCCCTGGCCAGCCTCCACAATAGGCAGGCGCCACCGATCAGACCGCGATCGCGAAGTAGTGCGAAAAACTGATGAAATGTTGAAAAATGTCAGAAGGCCATTCATTTTGCAATGTTT